GAGACCTGATGTCTCCTGGGTGGGGCCACTCCATGTGGTCACCTTTATTCCAGATGGTGGCGAAGTCGTATGACCTCCCTCTTCTCAGTCCTTTGTCAAAACCGAGACTGCCTATGTGTTGTTTTCCAGAGTAGTTCTAATATGGAGCTGCCAGCTTTAAGTTAACTTTTGTTACAAATTTTTAACCATACCCAGTTTCTTAGCTTTTTTTGTTTAGTAATTGCACAAAATAAACTGCCTCTGTCATCACGAGACTCAGCAAAGTCCATACAAACTAGTACATGCGCAATAGACTTTTTAACAGAAAGACAATCAAAACTTTTCCCCAGAAGCTGTGTCAGATGGCCAACTTACAAATCATGAAATGAGAGTGGACATTCCCAGGTGGAGGAGGGATCCTGCCACCACCTATCCAATGCCTGGGCTCCTGCATGCTAAACTGTAGCCACAGTGGGGAGACCCATGTAGTGCTGCCCCCTCCTCACGGCAAACCAATGTGTGCCACCCGGTTGTGAAGGGGAAGCTGGCTGTAGAGGAGCAGTGGCGGGGAGGGAGGGAGAGGCAGGAGCCATGTAGCGAATCCAGCTGGCTTGTTACACATTGTAACACACGCAAGAACGAGACCTCAAGAGGGAGAGCTGGCAGAAGAAGCGGAGAGTGGGAAGGGAAGGGACAGAAGTACGGAGCCCCAGAATCCTGCGTGAATTTGGAGAAATTTTGCAGCAGTTGAGAAACAGATGTAGACTCGGCACTCCCAATTCCCAGACTGTGCTGAGACTGAAGACTAAGGTGTCCTCTGTGGTAAGCCTGGGGTCAAGCGGTGGGTGGGGGAGAGCTCCTGAGTCCAGGTGAGATTTGACTGCTTCGTTGGCCACTTCTCCAGTGACCCTGTGGGTTCCCGCTTGACCTCAAGCCCCTCACCTGGAGACGGGCAGGTAGGCCATGTTTCCCAAGGCAGCGGTCACACTGTTTATGTGGACACACATTCGTATCTTCAGGATGAGCCTGGATTGCCTGGGGCCTGGATTATGCCTGCTCCTGAGGAGTAGTCACAGAGCTTTTAGGGACTGCTAAGGGTGACTTCAGGAGGAAGGGTCACAAATGCTGCATCACATTCAACAAGGCACTCTTTAGTGGTCACCCCCAAATCCTGTTCTACAAAGGGGGGCTCCGAGCGTAACAGGATTGGTTGAGACTGCTGGTATCTGTAAGTTACATTTATTCCTGCTTGTGGCTGTTGTGTCTAGTGATGTTTAGGTATGCCCCCCTGTTAGTATTTTACTTCTAGCTTAAAGGCTTGGATTGGTGCTGGAGATAACACTACTCTTCCACTGATAAGGAGACATGGGCAATAAGGCAGGGCACAGAGATCCGCTGGGCACCAATTTTACAGGTGCCAACATCTGTCTCTGCTTCCTAGGAACCATGCTGAAGATGAGTGTGGATTTTGTTACATTTAAGGTGGGTTTCAGCGTGGAGGGGCCACATCTCTGCCAGGCTAAGGAACAATGCATTTGGGAGTAACTCTACTATTGGGGATCGGAGCTCATACAGTTAGACTCTTTATTTCTATTTCAAAATATTTTCACGATATTCAGTTATATGTATGTTTGTGTGTGGGGGGATGCCTGTAGAAGCTAGAAACTTCAGATAACCCTGGTTATCTGTAATTACAGGTGCTTGACTATCATGTGACTCAGGCCTGCAGGAGCAGTAGGCACGCCTAACTGCAGAGCCGTCTTCCAGCCTAGTTCTTCCAATTTTATAGATGGAAAAACTGAGGCCCAGGCGTGCCCCTTTGCGTGATTATGAGCCTTGTGGATGGGGTGGGAGCATTTGCTGCTGAGAGATGCAGTGAGCTAGAATGTGCTGTTGTAATCCCAGCCTGGCCCCCTGGTCCAGCCAGACTCAGCACTTTAAGAGGCTGGGCCTCACTTGCCAGCCTTTCTTAGGTCTAACTGGGACTTACTTTGACAGTTGGTCTTAACTGATGGTGCAGATGCCCAGAGCCGTATCTGCAGGGTGCTGTCATGGCAGTTCCCGAAAGCTGAGTTAGTGTTTGCACATTCCCCAGGAAATTGCCTACCTCTAAGATAACTTCCGTACCTTGGGTTCCCAATAAGATTGGCTGCATCTCTGACAGCTGTAGCTGGCTGTTGTTGACCTGGCCATTTTGTGTGGTTGTAAATTCGGTGTTACGTTAACCACTTGAGGAAGCTGTGGGTCCTGTTTGTCACCAAGACAGTGGGGGTCATGTTAGGAAATTAGTTAATGTGACTGGTGACACATTAACTAATGTGATCTGAGACAACTAAATTAGAACAGTTTACAGTTAAAGAAAAAAGGGAAATTTGGGTGCACAAACACCTTTTAAAGTGATTTGAATAATTATTAAATGTTAAGATAGGTCTTGGAAAATTGATGAAACCTTTGAAAAGGTTGCAAAGATGTTTCTGGTTGTCTTATAAAAGACTGGCTGTGGGGTAGCTGTTCAAATTTGTATATACACATACAAAGAAAGCAAAATAAACAAATAAATCTACCTGCATCTTCCTTGGTTCTTTGGAGCAATCTAGAATATGGCTGTTTATTAAGATGAGTGGCATGTTCTTAATGTAAATTTCATCAATCATTGTAAGAAATCAGCTTTTCCATTTAGTCCCGTTTTCTTCTTAGGGTAAAGATGGCATCCCATCCACTCTCTTGCCTAAAATCATTGGCCGTTGTTCAGACAGACTTATTTAAAGTCACCACCAACTCTCCCTGCTGCATCTATACCAGATATCCTAGTTAACGAGGACCAGTCTTATTTCAGCCTGCCAAAAGTAGCTAGATTGAGGGGGTTTGGGCAGGCGCTATGCAGTTTAACCACCCAGAAAAGTTAGATTAGGGGGGGGTGGGTTGGGCCGGCTCTATGCAGTTCAACGACCCAGAAAAGTTCCTGTCCTGCACATTGTGCCGAGTATTCTTTCTCACTGGCCTCTGAGGGCTACCCCCATCATTTGTTTCCAGTACTCTGGAAGTGTCATGGTCTTCCTGAGACAGGAACTTCTTTACAGCTCTAGTGCTTTTGAGTTTTTTTTTTTTTAAGGAAGGTGGAAGCACTTGCCATACAAACATGAGGGCCTGAGTTCAGTACCCAGAGCCCATGTCAACAGCTAGGCAGGCTGACATGCATCTATGTGCTCATGTAATGGAGACAGGAAACTCCCTGGAGCCCACTGGCCAGCCAGCACAGCTGAACCCGTGAGCCCCCACCCTAGTAAAACACCTTGTGTGGTGGTCTGAATGTAATTGGCCCCCATAATCTTATAGGGAGTGGCACTATTAGGAGATGAGGCTTTGTTAAAGTGGGTATAGCTTTTTTGGAGGAAGTGTGTCGCTGTGGAGGCGGGCTTTGAAGTTTCCTATGCTCAGGACACTACCCAGTGTCTCAGGCTGCTTCTTGTTGCCTTCCTGGCTACATGTGGCAGCTCCTTCTGTAGCACTGGGTCTGCCTGCAGTGAAACTGTAAGCTGCCATCTGGATTAAATCTCTTCCTTTAGAAGAGTTGCTGTGGTCATGGTGTCTCTTCTCAGCAATAGAAACCCTAACTAAGACACCTTGTCTGCAAAAAAAGTGGGCAGTTCCTCAAAGGAACAGCACCCCAGGTTGTCCATCAGTCTCCACATACATGTGGACAGACACGGGTACACAAGTGATAACATATGCTTTTACATGTGGACAGACATGGATATACAGATGATAAAATATGCTCTTAAAATTGAATTTCCATCACTTCCTGGGTTCAAGGGATGGATGTTTGAGTTCTTAACAGCATATGCTCAGGAAAGCTTATGGTTCCTCAGAGCTCCTGTATATTGTAAGAGGCATCACATGGTTTCTATCATGAATTTTCATGAAAAAAAATTTGCCAAATTTTCAGTTTGGCAATTGAACCTTGAAGCTTCTACAATTACCACTAAGAGGCCTTTTCCCAAGGAGCATGGTCAAGATGCAGGCAAACAAAACGGGTCTGGCATCCCTGCAGGGCAGGGGGACAGCAGCTCTTAAAGACAGCTTCTGTCTAAGTCTGTTTGTTTATTGTTATATGTGGGGTGTGGGGCAGGTGCACAGTGCCACCAAGGCCATGTGACAGTCAGATGGCAAACTTGTGGAGTCCAGTCTCCCAGAGAGATGAACTCTGAGGACACTGAGCCATGCCACCAGCACTCCTTTCCTTTCGACATTTCTTTTACTATTCGAGGTCATACCATCCCTTCCTCTGAGTCCTCCCTGTAGTCCTCCCTGCTCTTTCTAATTCATGGCCTCTCTTTTCATTTGCTGTTATATGCATATATGTGTATACATACATATATATTCCTAAGTACATAAACATCATCTGCTCCATCTATATAGTATATAAGATCTATATGTTATAAGTATATATGTAGGTGTATGTTTTCGGGGCTACTTGGTATTAGATAATCAGTTGGTGTGTTCCTGTCTGGGGAAGACTGTTTCTCCCACTGTCGGCATTCCTTAGCTGCCTGTAGTTCTTTGTGAAGGGTTGAGGTCTCCTGCTCCCCTACCCAACCCTTGTACACCGTCACATGTCCATGCGGTCAGCTCATGTTTGGGCAGTCTGTTGGTGAGGCTTTATGGGGGTAGCATCTGACATTCCTAGGAGACTGTGCTCAGCAAACGCCCTGGTCTTCTCTCTGCCACCTCTCCCACAATGTTCCCAGAACCTGGGGTGTGGGCTGTTTTGTGTCCACTGGGACTGGGCTCCACAATTCTACATTTTGATTGGTTGTGACTTTCTGCAGTGGTCAGCATCTGTTGGAAAGAGAAGTGTCCTTGGTGGGGGCGAGGACCACTCTTATCTGTGGGTGCAAGGACAGTTGTTTAGGATGTACTGCGGGAATTATGCTGTTTTTTTTCCTGATAGCCACAAATTTGCACAGTTGTTTGATCAGTTTTACTGGGCACTAGTAACCTCTGGTTTTTTGTCTCTCTAGACGTCGCCTCATCTCCCAGAGATCGTCTTTGGAGACCCTGGAAGATATTGAAGAGAATGCCCCTCTCCGGAGGTAAGTTCTCCATGCTTCATATATTCATATGTTGTAACAGCTGCCAGTACTTGGGTGATTTTTTTGTTTTGTTTTGTTTCTGACCTTCTGAATTAAATTTTGAGGATAAGCATTTGGCTCCCAGGGACAAAGAATTCTCAGTGTGGAACCTCAACCCTGAAGAGGTGAAAACTAGGACACCCCACTAATAGACGGGAGCAAGGTCTGCCTGCAGATTTCATGGCTCTTTTTCTTGTGGTTACCTCTGGGGTTGGTGTTCCACGGAGTATGCTGAGAATGGCACCAAGGCCTTGGTGTGCCAATCGGCATGCTAACCGGCATGCTAACCAGCATGCCAATCGTCTGCAGTGCCTCTGAGTCTCAGCCCCAGCTGCCCTTTGCATCTTAAAAGTGGCTGTTTATGGAAGCAGGGCCATATTTACCCCAGTATTACACAGAGCTTAAGATCTTCAACTTCACTCTCAGCAGGAGAAGCAACCAGATCTCCTCAGGGGTGACTGTGACGTCACTCCCTAGCTAGTTGCTGGGGCAACCTGATGAAGATAGTTGCAAGTACTCCCTTGGGTTTGGAAGCATTCCATCCCATTTTTTTTCTACCGGATTACAAAAGTGCTGGCAAGGCACATTTTTGGGATGACAGCAATTGCTTGTGACTGGCAGGTTTCCCTCCCCTCACCCTGCCCTCCCTGTTGGCCCACATCTTTGCAGAGGTCCAGCCAGGTTTTCCTTGTGAAGGAGAAGCCGCTTGCATGCCGTGTCTTCTTGCCTTCTCCCTGTAGCCCCAGGCTGGCAAGGGACAAGTGTGTGGTTCCATCCTCTGAAATAGCCAAGGCCAGGGAGGCAGCTGTGGCTTCACCGTGAGGACTGAGGGGCGGAGGGCAGACAAGAAGACCCACGGGAGGCTGGCAGCTCCTGTGGACTGGCATTAGCCCTTCCTGAGCCTGCATCTGTCTTCCATCCGCTTGGCTACGTTCCAGGGTGTAACTTCCCCCTGGAGACCGGGTAGTGCCCCGGTGGAGGGCAGAGCCGTGTTCTGAGAGGGCTCCTCACCAACGTGGGAAGCAGAGGAGCAGACCCAGATACCAGGTGACTGTGAGCCTGGTCACCTGATGTCTGTGTTTGCTTCTCTGCCAGGGGCTGACAGGCTGGCCTCTACTTTTGAAGTCTTTGGAAATATACCGGGCTCCCAGAAACCCCGAAGGACATGTTCTGTGAGGCTGTATTTCAGTCTGGGAGAAGCCATTTCCCTGAAGGCACCACACATCAGCCCCATTAAAATGCAAGGCAGGGAATTGGCTTTGATCCAAGTAATTGGTGAGCAAGGAGGAGGGACACCAGGGGCCATGAGTGGCTTTGGTCTGAGAGTGGGAAATCATCTCCACCCAAGTCTCCCCCACCCCCACCTGCAGCAGAGAGGGAACCAGCGAGGAGAGACAATGGGGGGGCAGGGTGTCCAGAAGCAGGTGTTTGGAGTTGTGTGGGAACTGCCAGCAGAACAACTCCAGCCAATCAGGGCAGAGGTAAAACTTGCCCCCACTAGGGTTCAAGACTGGGCTGTTGTGTCCCCGGGAAATTAGAGGGCTGAGGGAGACTTGGGTGCCCCGTTATCCCTGAGACCTCCTCTTAGATTTACCCAGACTGGAAGAAGAGTGAAATCACTTGTTCTACAGTAACTGACTTCTCCCAGATCGTTGTCCGGAACTTCAAAGGAAATTTGTGTAAATGCAGGTATCTAAAAGTAACCTGAAATCAAGGCAGTTTTAGAAGTCTTTATTTCTCCAAATGAACTTCAAAAACAAAACAAACAACTCCTCAGGGCCAGTGAGATGCTCACTGGGGGAGGGCTCTTGCCACTGGTCCTAATGGCCTGAGTTTATCCCCGGGACCTATATAATAGAAGAGGACAACCTATATATAGATTGTTCTTTATTTATCTCCACACAAGTGCTGTGTAGCCTTCGTGTACCCCATCAATCTCCACATATATACATAAATAAGCGAATGAGGGTAGCGACGACAAAAAAGAGGTAGGGGAAGGCTTGCTAGTTGGGAATGTAGGACTCACTCGGACAAGCCTCAGTCCTCCCATCTGTAAAATAGGAGGGCCTAGATAGGCTGAGCTATGAAGTTGTTTTGCAGCCTCTGACAGGAAGTGCCCCAGGAATGGCACCCAAGTGATCTGGGAACTGTGGGGGTGGAAGGAAGGCTCTAGCCTAGCTTGCCTTCAAGGTTAGCGAGTAAAACAGTTGCCTCCAAGGTGCCTATTAAAACTTGAGCATAATTAAGTGTATCCTCTAATCAGTGCTAACGAGGAAGAGCTAAACTTTCATTGAATTGGTTTTTAATTTCATTCTCTCCTAATTTAATTTTGCATCACGCAAGAGTATGCTTTTAAATAGGTATTTACATGTTAATGTAGGCAGTTCTGCGAATCAGCCCTTTGCCTAACCTGTTGTCACCTGCGGCCCAGGATTCCAGTTTCCTGGGCAATTGTTGCTAATGGCGCTCTCCATCCCCTGCCTGGTGTTTGGGCTGAATGCTTTTAAAAGCAGCCCAGCAGCAGCTTGCTGAGTAAGTCCTGTCAGTGAGCGCACAGAGCTGACATCCAGAGATGCGTCTTTTATTGTTATCCTTTGTCTAGTACGTCACGGTCAGTGCTTCCTGTGCTCACCCAGGGTGATCACCGGGGACCCTAGGGCATTCTAGTCCCTGGAGCAGCCTTGATTGACCTCCGGGGTCATAGCAGCCACCAGCACCTGTCTGCTTTCTTAGACTGACTTGGTTGATGGGGTTGGCGCTACCACTGTTGACGTCATTATTCCAGCCACCTCCTTACCCGGCTGGCCCTCCCAGCCGCCTGTGGCCCATTGCTGACTTCCAGGAACCGTGGTCTCTCTCCTTGATGTCATTAGTTCCCACTAGGATCCAGAGCTTGTCAGGTGACAGGCTTGGTGAGCTCACCACCTGCTCCCTATCTAGCTCTCAGCCTGCTTCCTCTCAAGACTGGCTGGTTTGTGGGTGGGGCAGAGTGAGGGACGAGGACACTCTTAAACCCTTGGCCCTACCCAGACCCCCTGGAGGCACAGCTTCTTTTATGTCTGTGCTTCAATGATTCTTTTCTGCGAATCAGCCCCATGTTTCCAGAATCAGCAACCCCATGTTTCCAGAACCTTCTGTATAAGACAGAAGGAACCTTGTAGACCTAAGCAGTCATTCTGGTGTCAGCATGGAGGCAGTTTGCTTCCAGAAAGCAGTCTCAAGAAATTCCTTTTAAAGCTGTGAATTCAGAGCCTTTGATAAGGGCTGCTGGGTCGAGAATATGGAGCTCACCTAGCTCACAGCTTATTAATAATATAACACTTGAAATTTGCATATGATGTGCCCATGTGTGTGTGTGCATGGGTAAGGGCACTCATTCCAGTGGGTTTCTTGGCAGTTTATGAAACACAGGCACACATCCGTATGTATTCATTTAATTTTCACAGTAATTAATGGCAATGGGGATTGCAAGTGTCGCTAATACAGTTAGTTGGGAGCCCTGAGTGGTCTGTAACGCCAGCTGCCTAGAATCATGGTTACAGTGATTTCGGGGTTGGAGGTCCGGAGGGCCATGCCTCGGCTGAGGCGTCAGCCCACTCTGATGGGAAGCGGGGCCTCCCCTCTGGACACACAGCCCATGGAAGGACTTTTCCTGGTAAAAGCCACTAAACCACTGGTCTCTCGCCTTTTCTGGGCCTGCATGACTCACTTCGGTGGGGTTTATTCAAGCGAGGTTATATTTTGGGTTGTTCTTATTGTGATGTGTACTCTTAAGAAAAGCCTTCCAAAAAGGCTAGCCTCTGCTGGAAGGGTTGGTTAGGGTAGATGGGGATGGACCAGGCCTTCCCTCACCTTGGAGATTTCCCTGGGGGAGAGAAAAGACTAGGATTGTCAGGTAGGTCTAGAACCTTGTTCCCCAGTTAGCTCCCACATGTGTCCCACGCCCCTTCTGCTGTTAACTTTATATCCCATGGAGACATCTCCTCCCTCGAGACAGAGCTAACTATATTCAGATGCTGTAGCCACCCAGAGCTCAGTGTGGGCTTTGGGGACCTGGATTTCCAGAACCTGTTTTTGGAAGTGTGAGGTTATGGGCACCCACATCCTACAGGAGGAACCAGCTCTTGGTCTCATAGTCAGGAAGGATTTTAATAGGAGTAGCCTCATTGTGGTGGGATTTTCGGCTTTGGTGGTGGTGTCTGTGGTTTGTAAGTTAGAATTTATCACATTACTTCAACAATCACTGACCACAAGGAAGCTTTCTCAGCCGTGGTCTGTCAGAGAAACAAGCAATGTTGCCCATTCTCAGGGGGATTCTGCTTCTTAAATCCAGGTCACTTTGGTTCAATAGAGAAGTATTTATTAAAATTTGTTCTGAAGGGAACAGCAAATACCTAGGTCTTAATTCTCATTTGGATTTAAGCTGTGAGTTCCCAGGTGGAGTCAGGAGTCGGGGCAACTGTCCAAAGTGTTCAGGCCAATTCCCACTCCAGAGGAAAAATGACTCAGGGTTGCTTTTAAAATGAACTTTGCATGTTATCCCTCCAGCCCCAAGTCTTTGAAGTTTGCAGTGTTCGGTTCCCTTTACCTGTGCTGATTTAGGGTCTTTCTTTTAGGATGACAACAAGACTATTGTCCTTGGGATCCATTTAGGTTACATTATTGTAACTGAGGACAATGGTTTCCTTTAGCTAGCTTTTCACAGACTTATATTAAATGTTATCAGTGTTATCAAGGAAATTGCCTGTCATTGGGTTTTTTAAGTTTCCTTGGTCCCTACTCTGGCTGTATTGTCTTCATTACCCTCCCCTCCCCCACTCCTGCCTGATAAGGGGTGACTCAGCCATTTGTCTGGTCTTTCCTTCCTGCCTTTGTGTCGATACGTCTCAGTTGTCGTATTTTTTTTTAAATGACTTTTTTTTTTTCCAGATGTCGAACACTCTCAGGTTCTCCCAGACCAAAGAATTTTAAGAAGATTCATTTTATCAAGAACATGCGGCAGCATGATACCAGGAATGGCAGGTACCACACTACACCAGCATAAAGCTGCCAGGGCCCCTGGATGGATGGCCAGGGGACGGGAGGGGACTGTTTGAGTGACCAGAGCTGAGCAGGGCATCCCCAGACATCTCCACCCGGAGAGCCCGACTTCTAGAGACCTGACGAGAGGCTTGGACCAGAAACTAGCTGGTGTTCTCACAGGACGCCAGTGTGTTTGATAGAAAGCGTTGAGCAGAGAAACTATCGCTTTCTTTTTGTTTTTCTGCCTTGTCGGTTTTGTTTTCATCATTCACCAGTACTGTCTGGGCTGGTCCATAAAAACTGCCAGATCTGTGCCTGAACTTGGCCTTGGCTGTGGCATAGGCGACTCCTTAGGAGAGTCGAAATCTGAACTTTGGCTGGCGGGTCTTTCCTTGGCTTCCGGGCCTGCTGACATCTAGCAGAGAGCTTTCTCCAGCCCTTCATTAAACAAGTTACCCATCCATCCAAGACCTCTGGTGTCCACCAATGCCCTCTGAGCCTTAGGGATGGCTCCTCTTAGCTGACATACTGTCCTGAGCAGGTGGCCTGGTGCCAAGCCCACCTCATCTGATCGGATTTCTAGAAGATCACGTGGTCTCACTAATACTCTCCAATTCTTACAAAACAAAATTGCTGAGATGTCCCTCAGAGATGTTCCTTAAAGCCAGCATCCCTGTTATTCTGAGGGTAGGGAATACAGTTTACATCTTATGGAATAATACTAAGGGATAAGTTTTAAAAGGCCTGCCGTCTTAATGCTATGTTTTGAGCCTTTTACAAACAAGGAAAATAATTTTATAACCACTGTGATCATTTCAGAACAGCACAGTTGGAGTCTTCATATCCCTTTGCAGACTTTAGTGTGGATTGCCCCAGTCTGTTCTCTGGCCAGTGTCCACATTTTGCAATGCTCGGAATTTTTGTTTTCACTTTGATGCTCACTGTCTCCTTCAAATCATTGTGCCACATTCGTTCAGTCACCGTTTTGTTTGCTTTTGAGGGTGTTTCTAGTGCCATTTTTAGTCTTTATTTAAACCTTTGAGTTTATCTCTTTAACTATAACATAGACACAGAAAGGCTGTAATTCCCAAATAAAATCAATAAAGAAGCCAAAGAGATGACCCCAATTTAAAGGATTCCACTTTCAAGCCTGACCATCTAGGCACACCATCAGAGGGGTCCCAGGCATGGTTAGACAGTGAGAGAATGTAGCTAAAGTAGGAGCAATTGAATGGGATTTCAAGTTACAGGGTGGAGCTGCTCTCCCCCACCCCACCCACCTACCCCCCACCCCCTGCATCCCCCCACTCCTGCCCCTGCCTCTGTAAGTTACAGTCCAGAGAGGCTGCAGGATCAGAAGTTCTGATAGTGAGCTGTGAGCCATGTCAGGGACACAGCCTCCCTGAAGATGTGGGACAGGAGGTAAAGGTGGGAACCAGAGCTGTAAGGACCTCGCACGGGCTGTAGGAGGTGCTCTACCTGCTCAGGTGAGCACATGGGAGGGCTCACTTTCCACCCTGGGATTTATTAGTAAGGGTAGATGGTCCTTGTGTGAAACCAAGCTAGAAAGGGAGCCAGGAAGAAAATGGGCTTTCTGAGGTAAGAGAAGGGAACAGTGGTTGGGGATTGAGGCTGGGAGGATGTGGCTGGCCCCTCAGAAAGCAAGTGCGGCAGCTTGGCCTGGCTGCGGGCAGCGAGTGCAGCTGTCTCCTGTGGAAGTGCCCAGACACTCAGGTGAGCCACAGGCCCAGCCCTACTGGGCAGAAGGACCTCTAGTCATGTGCTTTTTGGGGGGATCTTGTACCCCTGCCTCAGGAGTAGGGGTGTGGCATGTGTCTGCTGATGCAGGGCACAATCCCACACCCTCTGGTGATTTCCCATAAGCCCACAGCCTAGTTTTCAGTCTAAGTGCAAACCTGGTACCTTTGGCTCATATACCTTGAAGATGCTGGTGTGGGGGCCTCCCTTGACCCCTAGATGTCTGGCAGTATGATAGAGGCCGTTATTGAAGACAATTGCCACCTCACAAAACAAGCAGGGAACGCTGGCACAAGAATCTGGGCTATAAATGAGTTTGAAGTGTAATTTTGAGATAGAAATGAGAGAAAGGTACCCAAAAACTGAGAACTATATATAACGGAGACAGTATTGTAGCATTGAAAGCAAAGCAAAGCAAATACACACACACACACACACACACACACACACACACACACACACACACACACACACAAGCAAATATAAAACCTGAGCTGTCCTCATAGTTGGTAGCATCAAAGTGTCTGTTGAGGATTGGGTGGCTCTCTGTTCCCTGCAGAGGAACAGCATCCCTCTGTGACATAGACAAACATAACTGGCCTGTGCAGTGGATTGAAGCGACTTGAATAGAAGCACTCGGTTGCCATTTGAGTGGATTCACATTTGAATTGTGTGAGGAAGAAATGCAGGGAGAAACATCTGAGCATCCTCCCACACTAGGGCAGGATAAAAAGGGCCACTCCCTCGATCCAGATCACAGGCTAGCCCCTAAGCAGGCACAAGCACAGCTGACCTGACCGGCAACCAGGGGCTGGGACCTGCTGCTCTGGGGCTCACACAGGAGACAGGCTCCAGCCCTCGGGGAAGGGGTCGTTGTGGGTTTACAGAGGGAAAGAAAGTGGTTCCCAACTAAGAAGTGGACTCTTGGGGCGGGGATTACCTTGCCAAGGAGTTGGTAAAGCAGCACCTGTCAGGAAGTGATAGTGATTGATGCTCAGGGCCATGAGGTAGCTCAGTCCTCTCTGGTGCCAGGCTGGAGGCACTGAGTATGTCTGTTTTATCAACTCCTACTCAACAGGTAGCCCGGCATGGTAGCACACATCTTTGCTTCCTACACCCAGGAGGCAGAGGCAGGTGGATCTCTTTGAGTTCTAGGCCAGCCTAGGCAACACAGTAAGACCTTGTCTCAAAAATCAAGAACTTCGATAGGCTGCCCAAGTGTGGTGATGCCTGTGATGTCAGAACTTGGGAGGGAGGGCAAGACAGTCGCAAGTTTGAGGCCAGCTTGAGCTATGTAGGGAATCCCTGTCACAAAACCTAAGGGCTGGCACTGTAGCTCTGAACTAGAGTGCTTGCCTAACATGTATGAGGTCCCAGGCTCCAACTCAAAAAAAAAAAAAAAGTAATCCTTGGAATGATTTCTTATAAGGAGGGACCACTCTCTTATTTGTGGTAAACAGAACAGTGTCTCGCCCACAGCTGTGAGCACAGACACTAATGTCACAATAGCGTCTCGCCACTGAGGTGTCCTCCTCCTTGCCGCACACCTGTTGAATATGGGGCTGCATCACAAGGAGGCTTTGAGGCTGTTAATGAGCTCAGATGAGAGGTAATGGCCTTTATAATCGAAGCTCTTCAGTGTAGAGGAGGGAATCTGATGATGGGATGTGACATTTGTCTTGCCTTGATTGGCTTTGAAGTGGAAATAGCTAAAAGACAAGGCGTGCAAGTGGCCACAAGCGGCTAAAAGGGACCATCAAACCAGTTCTGCCCATGGCCGCCAGAGGAGACCAGTCCTGTAGACGCCTGCAGACCCGAGTTAGCGACTGACTCTAGAATCAGAAGATAATAACTTGGTTGCTTTAAGCCACTAAGTTACCGACCTTGCTCGGAAATGAATGCACTGGTTAGTCCCAGTTAACAGAGCAAATACTGAAAAGAGGGAGGTGGGACTGCAGCCCGGGTGTGTGACTGTATGCCTCTTCACGAGTGTGCGGGAGCCGTGTGTGACCGCACGCCTCTTCACGAGCGTGTGGGCACTGGCAGCCCATCACAGCACCACAGCAGGTCGCGGCAGAGTTGGAGGAAAGTTGCAGCCAGCCTTGCCATTCAGTGAGCTCCAGGTTTAGCGAGAGACCCTGTCTCAAACTATCAGGTGGACAGTGGCTGAGAAAGACGACCTCTGGCTTTTCCGTGTACACACACCCATCACACACGCCAAGAGGAAGAAGCGCAGGGGAAAGAGCAGGAGGGAAGCTGGAGCTCTCTACATTGCAGGCGGGACTCTGCAGTGGTCTGGTCTCCCTGGGAAACAAATCAGAAGTTGCTCAAACAACAGAACGTGCAGTAGTTGCAATAGACAGCAGGTGTATACTTACAGGAATTGGGAAGAAGGATCCAAACAGACATTTGTGCACCAGACAGCTTTCTTTGTGGAAACCAAGACCTGGAGAAAAGGGCAGAAATCACACAGAGGGCGCTGTCCAGGTGTGAGGAGGGGAGACACTGGCACCTGGCACAGCTATATGAACCTTAAGAAAAGCTGTGGCGTGAGTGGACTAAACTAAGCACAGAGGTCAGATGTAGAACCACATTTATGTGAAATATGAATAGATGAGGTTAACAGGTTACAAGGGAGGGCGTGAGTTTGGGGTGATGGAAAAGCTGTAAAATTGGCCATGTGTGCACACATTGTGATTAGGCTCAGTCACCCCAAGTTGCACTGACAAATTATCTAATGGCGTGTTTTACACTTTATGTATATTTTGTTAAGATAAAATAACGTGGGCGATAGGGACAGAGTTTGTAAAGCCATTTTCAGAGGAAAGGATAGTATAGTTGTTGGGGTTAAAGGTCAGCCTCTTCAAGCAGAACTGGAAAGCACGAGACAAAGGAGTATACCAGCCACAAGTAGATGCTCACACACATTGGGCAAACTGAGTGAAGAGGCCTTGTAAGTGGAGTTGCAGCTTCAGGACTACACACTGTGGGTGGAAAGAATTAACAATATGAAATGATTTTCAGTACACTGTAGAGATTTTTTTTTTTACATTCTAAGCCTAATGCCAGGCAAACACTGCCTTAAAGTCAAAAGGAGTCTATGGTAGCAGAGGGTAAATTTTAATTATCAGCCCAACAGGCCTCTGGCTGTTTTCTGGCAGAGATGAGGAACAGATGGTGTGTGTGTGTGTGTGTGTGTGTGTGTGTGTGTGTGTGTGTGTGTGTATGTGTGTGTGTGTGTGTGTTTTAGAAGAGCCTATGGAGGTTGCTAGCCATCCACATGAGTTTACTGAGGAGAGAAGTCTTGTTAAATTAGCTTCATTTCCTCATTGATGGAATAACTAGATTAGTAAATTAGGAGAGTGCTGTAGACATTACATTTCTTGATTCAGCAAAACGTTAGGCTGGTCTTCATTATGGCAGATCCCACTGGGTGGAATGGAGAGGCGGGCTGGGGGTTTAGAGCCTGACAGTATGCACCGGCTGAAGTTTGCCAGCTGCCCCCCTCAGCCAAAGAGGACTAGAGTAGAATAGCATGTGGTGAGCATGGACTCTGCTGTATGGAACAGAGATGGCAGAGTAGGCTGTAACCCTCGTGCTCAGCCTGCAGAGGACCTGTGTGGAGAATGTCTGATACAGATGGAACCCAGGTACAGTTGCTTCATCACCTGGAAGTGCTGGGACTAGCCCAGTGAGATTAAACACAGCAAGAATAGATGAGATTTAGTCAGACCATCAATTATGGCACGGAAGAGAAGTCAAGGAAAAGGCTCTTGGCCTGAAGATGAACGGAATACTGACTTAAGCATAGTGCAGGCTATGTTGGCCTGCCCTGATGGAAAGCTACCCCTGATACATGTATGGCTTTTGTACACGATTAGAGTCAGTCCCAACAGCCATATTGAGACTGACATAAGTGTCACGTCTTACTTAGGATGCTAGCCTGTAACAGGATGGCCCATGGGAGTCAGCTTCCTGGAATAAGCCCCATGTTCTGAACACCAGGTGTACTTGCAAGAGTCTGACTTTATTTTCTTTCTCATAGGCCTTAGTCCATTCTGGATGCTGATTCACCCACACCACTCTTACATGTTTACTCGGGCCATTTTTTTCCCCTCACTGCTTGACCACTGGCCAGTCATTTTTAAGGATGCAAGGATGGGTGCTTGTATAATAAGCATGAGAACTGAAGTCAGAATCCCCAGGACCCATGTGAAACTCATGTACGGTTGTTCTTATCTTTACTCCCAGTATTGGGGGAATCCAGAGATCTCAGTGATGGCCAGCCTCATCAACCATTAGTCTCTGGTTCTCTGAGATACCCTGTCTCAAGGGGAGAAAGCCAAGAGTGCTAATGACATTTGACATCCTCTGTTGCTGGCATATGTACTCCATGTTCATGTGCGTGTACCCACAAACACACATTTAGAAGGACTGAGGATTCAGTGGAGACCTTTCCCACACTCAAACTTAACATGCTGTCTTACAGTGTGAAGCTTTTCACCTCCCGCCACTCAATATAGGGAATACGTTTTGCAGTCAGGTGATTGCATTGAAATTTGCAGTGGCACATGTGTACAGTTCATTCAACTATCCTGCTGGTGCCTGCTCCGTGTGGGTCTTATAAGATACATTCTTGAACAAAACAAAGGCCCTGCACCTAGGAGTCAGAGATCAGCTGGAGAGAGACAGATGATAACAGATGTAATACACACCAGAGATAGAGGGGGAGAGACTGACGCAGCGGGGTGGCGAGCAAGAGGAGATGGGGGTGTGCTGAGGGCCCGTGGGAAGCTGTGAGGAGGTAAGCGGGCCAGCCCGATGACCGTCTAGTAACAGGAGCACTGAGAGTGGGTGGATCGTTTGAGTGTATCTGAGGAGCTTCAGAAAGGCCACTGAGGTGGGACAGAGCGAGAAAGGAAGCAGGAAGAGGAGCTGAGCCCCGAGAGACTGGGGGGGGGGGTTGTCTAGACAACGTCAATGCAGGAACTTTGAGCTGAGCGAGGCGGGAGGACATATGACCAGCCCATGCGTGAGTGCAGCCACTCAAGCCAGCCGGAAGCCACGGACAAACATCATGGGCCACTTAGGGCAACTTTGTAGAAAACTAAAGAGTGGGTGTGCATGGCCTCCTTAAATTGAACTCATTCAATGTTTAAAAACAACTCGGAATTGTAAAAAGCCATCTACAAAGGTATGTGCCAGCCTTTTGAAGAGACAACCCTTTGTGGAAAAGGGCAGTGGCGAGCTGCCCCATGCTGTAATACCTGAACACTCCAGGCCAAGGGATTGCTAAGAAGAGCTGTCAATCACTGCTAATTCTAGGCTTCACTAAGAATCCTACTGCGCGCCGATGGGAGAAGGTTGGACAAAAGTCTCAGTCATCAGGCATAGATGCATTGGGGCAATTATAGGCGCTCACAGAGCCTCCCAAGAGCACGGCTACCTGGTGCGGTGCCTCCTTGAGAGGTCATTGCTGGGCGAGTGGAACCGAGCCATCCGTCAGAGTGAGCATGAACGCTGAAGGCAGACAATGGCTGTCATGACACTTCCCACTGGGAAGGAGGAGACCTTGCCTCCTGGTCGTTGCAGCCCGAGACCCATAGACACCAGTTTGGAGCCCTGAGCTGGGTGGCTTTGAATGCCCCCTCCTACCCAGTGTGGCTGCCATGTGCCCTGCAAGTGTCACCTCCTGGGGCTGCTTTGAGAATCACTTCCTTGTGAATGATCAAGAAATGTTCCCTGAAGCCTGTGAAAGGAACTTTCAAAGTGATGGGCGAGGATAAAGAATGAAGCAATTGTTTTCTCTCTAAATTTCACACCAGGCTAAAGAAAGACTTCAGCACCTTTTGTGGCCTTTTAAATAAACTGACAGAAGACCAGGAGCTGAAATGACATCCTAGCTTTTTCCTTTTTGGAGGGGAGGGGGCAACATGAGTCAGATGGACATGAGGACCTAGCTCGTGATCTCTCTCCATCCTAGCCCCACAGCCTGGGGAAACGAGTCAGAGGAAATGGCACATTTCAAAACCTACAAGCAACCTGACAGCCTCAAAAGGAGACGGGCGCTGCCCCTCTTGACGAAGCAAATCCATCTGCTGTGTAGATGGCGCATGTCTTCCACTCTGCGCTTCCCAGGGTCCTGTCTTCACGAATAGGTCTCACGGCCACTGCCATGTGGGGAAGCCTGTGGGTGGGGCCTTCATCCCTTTACCCGTCCGTCAGTCCAGGAGGACAGTAAGTGGACACCAGCCTAGAGGAGCCCCTGCCAGCTGTTCCCTGTGACCAACTCCAGTGTTAGAGAATGGCAGGAGGGAGGGACAGCTGGGCCCAGCCGGTACTCAGGATCAGCGCCACACGCACTAGGCTTACAAAAAGTGTTTCAAGAAACCATACAGGCCCTTTTGAGTGTGATAAGAACACCTGTAACCCCATCCCCCGAGTGACTGAGGCAGGAGGATCATAATTTCTAGCCCAGCCGGTCTTTAAAAGTCCTTAAACAAGTACAGAAGGCTGGCACAGAGGTGCATGCCTGTAATCCCAGTGACATGCCAGCGTGACGTAGAGGGGTCATTTGAGAACAGCTTGGGCAATGTAGGAGGACCCTGTCCCAAAACAAACAAAACCAGTCTATGGAAAGCACAGCCATGGCATTGACCTTCCCTGTGGTGTGTGAGTCTGGGTGAGTGTTTGAGTGCGGGTGAATGTGTGTCTGTCTGTTTGTCTGTCTTTGCTACTACAGGTCCTTGTTGCTGTTTTCAGATAGAAATTTATAAGAAACAAGAAAAGTCCTGGAGGATAGACTAACTTAGGTCAGGAACCAATTCCATTTGGACTGAATCTTCCTTGGGTGGATGAGGTTTGTGGTTTTATTGTTGAGACAGTCTATGCAGCCCAGGCTAGTCTGGACCTAGATCCTCCGGCAGGATTCCTCAGAATCTTCCTGCCTCTGCCTTCCAAGTGCCAGGGTTGCAGTGTACACCAGCATTCTTGCTGATGGTGAGTGAGAGTTCATCCTCTCCTTCGTTTCCAGGTAGCCTGGAGCTGGGGGAGACCGGGCTTTGGTGGTGACCAAAGGTGGTGACATGGCAGGGAGAAAAAATAACTATAATTACTGTAATTACTTCTGGCCAGCGGCTTCAGGCCAGGGCCACACTGCAAGTGTGTTGGAGGAGGTAACTAATCTCCCTAGGAGACTGTCAAACCTCTGTGACATTGTTTTCAGCAAACTTCTCTGTCCTGGTCTTGTGGGCCCCCTAATTCACATGTTAACACCCTAATCCCATGCCTCAGAATGTGGGCTAATTTGGAAATGGAGTCATTGCATGTGTGATTGGGTAGGCTGAGGTCATGATGGCTTAGTGTGATGTGATGTCCTTAAGAAGCAGACACTGTTCAGGGAGGACCCTCTCTGCCTTAGGAAGCCCTGCGATTGGAGCAAGCCTGGGAGACAGCTCATCTTCAGAGGCCGCACAGCCCCCTCCACATCTTGACCCTGGACCTCTGGCCCCAGGACTGAGAGAGAAATCCTGATGTTCAACCACTCATAAACTCACTGTGTATTACTCCAGGCTGGCTTTGATCTCCCAATAATCCTCCTGACCCGGCCTCTAAAGTGCTGGGATTACAGGCACGCGCCATCGTACCCAGTTTATTTTTGTAGTCTTTATTTTGTAGTACAGATTTGGGGCATACATAACTGTGTTAGTATGACCAGCTCGGTGTGGGTGGTGGGGAACAGCCTTCGGCCAAGCGTGCGGGCAGCAAGTGGAATGCTGGCTAGTCAGGTAGTGGGCCAGAGCGCAGAGCTGCACTCCGCGCTGGTCGTCCCTAGGCTTGCTTTTAGCTCTTTGTCTTGTTTATGCCCGTCCGTCCACGCCCTCCACGAGCAGATCTCTTCACTGTGCGCTGGTTGCCCCTTCCCTAGGAAGCCTACCTTCCATCTGGCTTGGATGGCTTCCCGATGCTCAACAGTACCTGTCCACCCCAGAGCGCTTGCCTCTGTGTCTTCCAGCCAACAGTCAACTTTGCGGGGGCAGGACTTTTGTCCGCGTCATCCATCAGACTCCCCAGCCCTTGGTGCGATGCTGACATCGAAGGCGTGCTTGGAAAGAATCTGTTGAATGAGGGGAAGGGAGGACAGAGGATCCTATAACCTGTTTCTCAGAAGTCTCTTGCCACTCCCAAGATGGCAAGATAAGCCTCACCTCCCTAGCAGCAAGAAGGGCCGGGGATGGTAGGATTACACTAGGGGTGAAGGGCTTGGCAGTGGAGAGGGTGCAGCAGAGGTAGAGGAATACACTAGCACCTCCACCACCAGAATCCCTGGGATACTTAGCACAGATCATCAGACCACTCCACCCGGACCAGCCATCTTCCAGTCCCTGCGCTCCTGATGTCCTTGTAGCTCTCCATCGCTGCCTAAGTCCCCGTCTTTCAGCCACATTCATCATTCTTACCTGCTAGAATCCCACGCCCCTCTAGAGCCCGACCCAGGAACGGAACGCTTACGCCAGGCTAACTGTGCACACCACAGGCAGGGTTCCGCACCCTTTGTCAGGGCTCCTCCTTCCTGCCAGCTCCCCACACAGAAGCAGTCTCTATCCCGTGTCCGGATGGAACGGGACATCGCTTTGTGAGAATGTCCCCACAGCGCCCTTGTCCTCAGTGGCTCACCCAGTAGGGAGGGGGGTGGTGAAGTGAAGGGAGAGGGAGCTCGTCCCCTGTGGCTAGCCAGTGTGTAAACAGGGCACCCAAGAACATTTTCTTGTTGTTGTGGCAGCCTTCTTTCAACACTCATTATGTAATTGCCAGCTTCAGGCACGAGAAACAGGGGCCAAGTCCTTCTCAGAGCTTCTAATTGAGCTTTGTGAGAGGAGGACCAGTGGCTGTGGGAAAGGCGGTCTAAGTGGAGCTGGGAAGAGTTTTCCAGACACTGCGCTGTCCTCTGGACACTTCACTTCCTCTAGGCACAGCAAGCACAGTGTTCATGCTCAGAGGGCCTAGAGGGTGGGGGGGGGCATAGATCCAGCCAGGAAAAAAAACCACAACCAAATGCCAGCTGTATTCGTTTCCTGGGCTGCCTTACAAAGCACCCAACATGGATGGTGTCTGTCATTTCTGGAGGCGTGGCATGCAGGACCGTGTCCTCCAAAGGTTCCATCATCATCCCCATCCCGGGCCCTTACAGAATCACCCCAACCTCTGTCTCCGGTGTCTGCAGATCACTCTTCCCTTGTAAAGACACCACTTCCTGGACGGGAGACCCCCTTCAGTGTGTCATTTCACACTAACCCGGTTGTATCTGAAGTCCCGACTTCCACACAAGGCTGTATCTGAAGTCCCGACTTCCACACAAGGCTGTGTCCATGGAGGTCACACTTCAGCAGGCAGTTCCACCACTGTTAGTATTTTCTCTTGCTTCCCAGGCATGGAAAGAGTGAGTTTGGAAAACATGTTTCCGCACATATCCAGCACCTGACGTGGAGGCTGGACAGTGCTTAGACACCACTGTGCTTGCCCTTAGTGTTACAGTGTGATGTCCATTTCTTTTACTCCACTAAACTGCCTGGTCATCTTTAGTATCCTATGGAATATCTCTGCCGTTATGGAATAAGGATGGGAGTTCTCAAGACCAGCAGACTCCTCAAGGGCTGGAAATGGAGCAAGAAGATAGCTTTAGGCATCAAACAACACACAAGGTCCTGGGTGGTGTTACACAAGGTCACTGACACTGAACTGGGGGCGTGAAAGCAAATTCTGTGGAAGAGATGACCATGGAGAATTTGTGCTTAGAAGTTGAAAGATCTCCTTTTGAGTGGCTACACTTTCCCAAGAGCTGAAGGGCGTGCTCTGAACCTCCTGAAGGCTTTAGAAAACATTGTGTATCCAGAGGCAGCCTTTTCCTTAGCTGTTTTGTTTGTTCTCTGGAGACATTTGTATGGAAATGTGACCTTTGGTTCCTCACAGACTCATCTCCCTGGGGTTAATTCCACTGCTGAAGTCATAATCTTTTATGGAAAGCTTTCTGGATATCTTGGCTTCAGTGTAGTGCTAGATGTCACATGGGTAAGGTTGTGTGAGCCTTTTGTGTGCCATGTGAAAAGAAGGTAGCATCTGTGGCCAATGGCAGGGACACAGACATGGTCAGTCTCAAGCCCATTGGAAATGGTATGTAGTAGTCTTATGCCACTCATGACCACCATTGTCCAATTTAATTCCATCAGAAAGAGCAGACACCCTCGAAGGAGTGAAAAAAAATTGGATTTTCTTCTGAGGCACTCCATTGTGATGGATGGCTCCTAAGAGCAGAGCCAAGCAGTAAATTCCCATGAGCCTCTGCTTCTCTACAGGCCAAGCCTCATGGTTGCTTGTGTAAGAAGTCTCATTCTGTACTTGTTGCTGCCTGCCTGTTCTGGCTAAGGCCTGTTGTCCCCGCTGGAGGCCAGATCTACTCCAGAAAATATGGAAGACGTGTTCCCAGGAGCTCCAGTGACAATGTTGTTATGAATCTACCAAGCAGGTCTCTGCCATGGCTTCTTCCTCTGAGCAGAGTCTATGGGAAGGTCGAGCCCAGAAATGGTGGGGAAACACTCAAAGATGCAGGGCTCCTGCTCACCTCCAATCCAGACTGGTCAAAGAGAAAACGGCCCTAGTGGGATTATTGGGAAACAGTTCATGTTCCTGGTTGCTAAACTTGGCTCACAAAATATAGCAACACCAAGTTTCTGAATGAGATCCATGGTGTCAACATCTCCTAGACCATAATAGTGAAGGCCACCCAGAATGCACCCTCAGTTCATAGAGCAATACAGGCCATTTACTGATGGGCGCCTTTGTGGGTGAAATGTTAGAAGACTTGGATTGTACTTGGCATTGACAGTCTCTCATTTTCTTGTTCTGTTAAAGATGTCCAAACAAAAGAGAGACATATTTATTAGTACTGGGTAACGAGGAAAATGGAGTCTTAGTAAAGCAGTTGAGTCTGATCAACACCCTCTTTCCTCTGTGTTTCGGAGACACTAATGTTGAGTGACGGGGGGTATGGCAAGAGTGACAGTGAGGAAATGGGCTGTGAGGACAGAGAGAACCTCCATCCTTCATCTGCAAAGGGTCCCAGGATGAGCAGACTGGAATATGGAGCCTCTGTGGCTCTAGCAGCTCAGATGGTGGCGGTGTTGGCAGTGGCGGTGGCAGTGTGATCCAGCACTCTCAAGGTGACCCCCAGGCAGGACTAGAAAGCTACTATGGAACGCCTAGGTAACGGCAGGCTTGTTGGTGCTGAGGAAACCCATGGGTGCCCAGCTAAGCGCCTGACGGCAGATCTTTCTAGTCAGTTAGAGAGTAAATTCCCAGCAAGGAAGAGCTCAGGTACACATCTATGGGCAGCCACACCTGCTCAGGCGCCACACTCACTTCGAAAGTCCTTTACCAGCTTGTGCCTTCCTGGCTAACAGCATTCGTGACCTGGTACAGAGTCCATTGTTCCAGCCACTATTGTGTCACTGTAAGCTTACACAGATACGCCATGCTGGAAGTTGTCTCTGGGATTCGCAACGGTCCAGGAAGGTGGGACGTATTCACTCAGGCCCACTCAGGATGTGACAGTCTTGGCCCTTGCCCGGGTCTGATAGCTAGTGGTCTCTCTCTGTGTTACATCATTTGGGCCCTGTGTTTGCTCTGTCAACTATCCCCAGCATTGACTTTGTTCCTCTTAGCAATACTGAGGTCTGGAGAGGTTCTAAATGCAAGTACTCTGTTGCTAAGACAACCCCACCCAAAAAGCCAGTCTACATTGTAAATGATTCCTATTTAACATACATCGTGTCTGCTGGGCAACGTCCCAAGAATTTTTCTACTGTGAACTCATTTTCTCTTCCAGCTTTACCTCATTCCATTCATTTCTTCATCCATTCATTAATTCACTCATTCCTTTTTTTTGTTCCTTCAGACAGGATCCCGTGTAGCTCAGATTAGTCTCAACTTTGTTGTCTAGCTAAGGCTGGGTTTGAATGCCTGATCCTCATGCCTCTGCCTCCCGAGTACTGACAGAGCAGGCATGTGCTTCCATGTCTAACTCAGCACCATGTTTTATATGGGGAAGTCAAGGCTCAGAGAGAGAGACGAGGTGACAAGGCTGGCATCAGAAGCTGGCAGCATCACCTTGGTCCTCTTTGTCTCTGCACATAGGAGCAATAGAGAGCTGAAGCCCTGGGTCTTCTTGATCGGTGCTTGGGTCCTCTCTGCACCCAGACTGCGTGTCAGACGCATTGGCAACAGACCAGCAGAGGGACAGCTCTGTGCTGAACCCTTAGTCTTGCCCTCTAAGAGAGAAGACAAGTGACTAAGAGCCCGACTAAGAGCCCGTTGTCACCAGCACTCTCCACTCATCTGGAGGAGTGACTTCCCAGCTAGGTTTTGAAGACCCTGAGAGTTTATCAAGTGTACCTAAGCAGGACTCACAGGCTGAGGAAATGACATGTAAAGACACAGGATGAACCTGGTTTTTTTTAAGTAGGTGGAGCACTGCATTGCTAAACATGCAGACATGGTGGGGCACGTGGGAAAATGCTGTGCCACAGACACTGGAGAGCAGGGCCAGCAGTGTGGTCTGGCTTGCATACCAGAGACCAGACTTCATCTGGGATGTGGGTAATTTAACGTAATAGTTTCAAAACAGGGTTAAGATCCCCAAACCCTGATGCCCTCGGTAGTGCTATTTTCCCTGCTTGTGACATCGAAATTCTGAAGGAAATTTTGGAAGTAAATAAACTCCATGTGCGAACTGCGTTGACCTCATGCCAAAAGGAATGCTTCCTATTGTCTCCCACTCATTTCTTCTTTTTTCACCAGCAATTCCCTTTGGCAAAAGTTATTCTCAGAGGGCAGGATAAGTACTTTTGAAGGGTTTTTGTTTTTGTTTTTAATGTTTTTTCAAGTGGCTTGGATTGCATAAGAACACGGTGTAGAATGGTTCCCAGTAGATTCTTTATAGCAGGGATGGTGGCTAAGACTGATTATGTAATTGTTCCCTCAGTCTATTCTGAGAACCTAACGTTGCCAGAATATGAAAAGCTAACGATGGTAATGGCATCTGAACGTCTTTCCAGCTCACGGTTCTGGGCACGGTTACCCTCCCATTGTTTACTGCAGGGCAGAAGTCATTAGTCTTGATGTGGCATTGACCGTTTTGCCTGTGTTGGCCACCAGAGATTCAGTGCGGTCTTCTGTGCCTCGTATGCACAGCTCACGTCCCAGGCAGCACCTCTCACGTATGTCTGGTCTCGCACGTGTTAATATTTGGGTGAGGAAAGGCAGCAAACTTCTGCCGCGCTGAGGCTTGCATTTTGCGGGAAGAGCAGAATGCCATCTGTTGGAGGAGGAGGCGGGAGTATGCAAATACTGCTGTGAATCTCATGAATGCTTAATTTGCTGTAGAACTTATTTTAAGTTTGTTTTATTTTTTAATTTGGAGTCTTTGCATTTAGTTAGTTGCTTGTTTTTTTGTTTTTTGTTTTTACTTTGTAGAATAGTCCTTATCAGTGGCAGAAGATCCTTCTGTAGTATATTTTCCGTGCTGCCGTATCGAGACAGTACCCAGGTCGGGTATGTATATGCATGCATACTTTACAGTTCTCTGGGTGGAAAGCTCAGACACCAATGTGCACAGTGTGACTTGCCTTTCTCTGTTCTCAATTTGCCTGGATTTGATGTTACAAATTTAGTGTCTGAATTGGGGGTGTGTTCTACTTTCTTTCAGCCAGAAAGCTTCCTTGGTTTTGTGTGTGTGTGTGTGTGTGTGTGTGTGTGTGTGTGTGTGTGTGTGTGTGTGTACTTGTGTGTGTGCATGTGTGTGTCTGTACATCTGTGTGTGTGTGCAACATGAGAGCAGCTTCCCTACCATCTGCCTCTCTTTCTATATGTGTGTTTTATCACCTTGTCCAGTACTATAAACCAAGAAAAATATGAGGTCCACCATATGCCACTGGGTCACTCTGACCGTTGGAAAAAGGTAGGTCAGGTAAGGACCAAATCCTGTGACTGTCCTACATCCTGAGCCTTGGCTTTGGTTTGGAGACTGATGGAGAGCTGGAGCTTGCACCACAGGGCAAACATGTCACAGCAAAGCGGCACCAGGAGCAAAAGCACATAATTAGGGGCAGGAGAGAGAAATGGTCCCCTCTCTGGATTAACCAGCCCTCTCCTCGGACTCCGAGCAGAGAGCAACAATAGAGGGACAGGACTTGCAAGATCACCTTCTCCTCTCCACCCCCTTCAGCCTTTGGTCCCTGCCCTGTATCTAGACTCATCCCCACCGTGCGGTCTCCAGCACTTGTGGTCAGGGTGCTGCTGGTGTTGGGGGAAGGCTGTGTGCAGCGGCTGTCAGGTACATCGCTGGGTGTCATTGCGGCAACAGATGCTATAGATCACACCCCCTAGGACAGTGTGACCCTGGTCCTGTTTCACCCCTTACCCACCCTGCATTCTTCCCACAAGCTGTCCCCAGGCTCTCCTGCTGGCCTTGGCCTTGCCTCTCTACTGTAGCAGGTTAAACTCATGGCCTGATAAACAAACGCACCTGGTTCGTACATGGACTCTACATGAGCTCCATAAGAGCAGCCACTAGTTAGATACGTGACTTACAGAGTGCACTAATCATCTTTTTACTTCTGCACCCTTAGAACAACCTTGCAAAGTAGGCGTTCTAGGAAAAAGTAACAGTAGATCTCACAGCTTGGAGGATTGGGGCCTATGTAGGGGTAGCCATGGGCTTTTGGCTCAAAGGATGTCCCAGAGAAGCTTTCTTATACCTGCCTAACTTGCTCGATACAGTTGTGGCTGTATCAGAAAGACAGCCCATTTCCCGGGAAACCAACTGTGGCAAGGCCCAGAATATCTGAGTGTGAGCAGCCTGCCTGTTGTACGGCCCCGAGGAGGTCTGCACCTGCCGCCGATGGTTCTCTGTGGGCACAGCCTCTTCTGGCCATAGCTTAGATGGGTCCTGTGGAGCTTCCTCATTTCTCTGAACCCTTTTGCTGACCATTCTGACTGATGCATTTTTTCCCCTGTCCCAACCCATTCATTCATTTCTTTGTGTACTACTTACCACATGACCAGGTGATGGGGATGCAGGGAGAGAAGGCTGGGCATGGTACCCATCCTCTTGAACTTACGCTATGGACAGGAAGACACATCAGATTACATACATACATGTTCCAACGGGTGGCCCACTGTCCCTTCCTAGCTGAGGACTCACTTGTTTCTGTAAGATAATGAGGCTTCTTCTGACCCTTCTCTTTGAAATGTTCACATTGGGTTCATTCCCAAAGGGTTAGTTTCCATATGCAGGTACCTCTCACTGCTGTACCAAGAACCAATCATTTACAGCTGTGATCCACGGTCCCAGGCAGGCGTGGGAATGGGAGCCATCTGGATGGCCCCACCTCTTGCATGGCCTCCCCAACCCTGCAAACATGCCACACAAGTTCCACGTCTGTGGCAGTCTTGCCAGGGCATGGAGCACTGATGTGGTCTGCTTCCCAGAGGGCACCTGAGGCTCACAGGAGTCTGTGGACACAAGGTTCCCAGTGTGGCACATGGCATGCTTGACAGGAAGGTGAGTGGGGCCCACTGCTCAGGACCCCATTTTCTGACAGCAAACACGGGGAGTCATTGTGGAGAACTTTGAAGACTGTGTGTTTTTCAGTTGTGACTTTGAAGGTTTGGGTATTTTCATTGAAGCCAGTAAGAACGTTTGAATGGAGATTATCCATCTCATCGTGGCTCCATGTGGCCTTCCACATTTTTAGAAACCCCGGGAATGCAAGCTGGTGGGCAGGGGCCTGAGCAGCATCTGTTCACGCCTGGTGTCTCCGATGCTGGGAAGCCTGTGGGCTTGACTGCTGTGCCTGGTGGCCCTGGGTAAAGAGAGACATTTGGATCTAACTTTCATGTCTTGGACGTGAGCAGATCCTAGTCTACCATTTCTCCAAGTTTATAGTTGAGAAACCAAGGGGCCCACCAGAACACAGTCTCTTTGTAAGACCTCACGGGGAAGCGGCCTGTTGTCTATAACAGAGACTACTTTCTACCAAAGCAACAAGGAAACGCTGTAAGGCCAAGAACTCTACTTGAGTGGCCGGGTGTGCGTTCTATGCTTTTGACACTTTAATAAACAGACACCCTGTTTATAAATAGATAAAAGCCCATTTGCCATAATTTTCCACTGGTTACTACAATTCTTTTATTAATGGGAAATAAAAAAAGTATTTAAGGAAATGTGTTTGTCAGTACCCTATGGTAGTATTTATTAGTAAATAGCACTAGCTGTTTTAGCTCGGGTACACACTGGCCTATTATATAATGCATTTCCACTGTGGAAGATGCCTCATGCTTTCCCAGAAGCTTGCCCTGTGATGTAGCCACCTATCATACAAGTCCAGGACTGGAAAGGCCTTCAGATAATCTGTCCTTCCTGCTTTGATTCCAGGGTAGCCAAGGTTGGGCGGAGCTGGGATGGGGGTTGTGCATCAGCCCTAGGCCTCTGAGCCCTGTAGTCTGGTACCCATGTTTCCCTTGTGTGGACCGGGCTGTGAGGGCCTGAGTATCCCAGACTGTCGAGTACAGACACACACCAGTAGAGGAGACACTGCCCACTCCTAGCTTCATCACAAGAAGATCACAGAAACAGGAGACTCGGTAGCTCCTCTGCGTGTGCTTGAACCTACTTTGGAGGGCGAGCATCTCTCAGATAGGCAGCCTTGTCTTCCTGGGTGTGCTTTCTGACTTCTCTTACAGCGAGCATGGCAGCTTCCCAGCTCCACCTCCCATTCTCTTGGTCACCCAGCCTCACCTCCTGCTGTGGCCCAAAGCTTTGTGTTTTGTAATTTTTTTTTCACCTGAAGTGCACACTGAACTTGGTGCCTGGTATCAGTTGACAATTCTGACAGAGCCAACTTGGATATTTCACCATCCATTTTCATTGTATTTGCATTCAGTCCCTGGTAGTCCCCAGTGGGCATGAAGCCCTGGTGGAGAACACGCTGCTGCCCCTGAATTGTCATCAGAACCCTTGGCTGTGTGAATTCTGTGGTCCCACCCACCACCCCAGGCTCCTCCCCACCTCACCCTCTTCCCTGTATGGATGTTCTCTCCCCCCCCCCCCCACTACTGTGGAGAAAGATTTGAGCTTGTTCTTGGAATCTAGAGAGTACCTACTGTTTGCCGGGCACTGTTAAAGGCAGCAGGTGTGATGAACATGAAATGTCTCTTCTCAGAGAAGCTAGACATACTCTTTGTTACTCTCTAACAAAGCAGCCACCCAACAGTTGAGTCCCAAGCAGTTGCCCAGTGCTTGGGGCAAGCGGAGCCCAGGAGAAGGAACTGAGAGAATCCGGACAGCCGGGTACTCCCCAGTGCAGGGGTACTGAGCTGGATGTGTGAACCCTTAGGGACATAGAAGAGTTTGAGACTCTATGGGCTTCCAAAGATGTCTGGCATGGTTAACAGCCTGCTTCATGAAAGAATTCAATAGAGCCGTGTCCAAGCTGGGACCCTGCTCCTGAACAAGTATTCCACCCTAGTAAGGGAGAGATCTGAAGTGAACCTACCAGAAGTCCCAGTCATGGGATGTGTGGGCTCTCACAGGACCTTCACTCCACCTCCCTTCTCTTACGGTTCCTGGTGGGAATGCTCGGCTCAAGTCTCCCACAGTTGATGTTGAAGAGACCGTGAGTGAGACGCATAGCTCACACTCCCCATCTGTCAACAATCAGTGGCTTCAACACTCACCTGAAAGTTATTCCTCACAGGGCTTTTAAGTTTTCAGATTTCAAGACAGGCCCTGATAGGGTGAGTTTTGGCAGTTTTCTGGTCTGGGCAATAGGACAGGGGGTCAATCCTCAGCTTGAGAACAATGTGAAATACTCAGTGTCCATGTAAGCCACCAGGTTTGTGCAAAGCTGGTGTTAGGACCATCTCCAAGATGACTTCTGGAACTTCCAGTGAAAGCAGATGACCTGGTTGGTTGACAGCTGCCCCAGTTCAGACTGCCTCAATGTGTAGGGAAAGCTGTTTGAGAGAGGGCATATTTTGTTATGATTTTCAGAGGTTATAGCCAGAGGTTTGTGTGCTAGAGTGGTGAGCAGGGTATGGCTGTTTCCTAGAGCCTTCCGGTATGTACACTCGTTTCTTCTTCCGAGGACTGGATAAGATAGGTTCCTGTATTATCATTTTGCTTGAGAAGGGTGAGACACAGTGGGACAATGTAACCTCAGCTGAGGAGAGTGAGGCTAGAGAGTAGCCGGACTCTGTTCATTGCCATGGGATAGCTCAACCCATAGCACTTAGCCCAGCCTTTCTCAACCACGCTTTTAGGGTTGGACTTGCTGACTCAAGACTTTATGGTGTTTATAGGTGTCACACCTGGAACTTTGGTGGCCAAGCTGTTGGGTGATGGCTTCCGGAAGGCTGTGAGGGTTACTCATTTACCCCATGGCTTTAAATTCTCCAAGAGTAACTCCAGGTAGCTACGGGTCAACTCTCCCCCTCCCTATACTGAACCCAGGGCCTGATGCATGATGGGCAAATTCTCTACCACTGAGCCATAACTGCAGCCTTGATTACTTATTTTTATTTTGAGGTGAGGTCTTGCTACGTTGCCCAGGCTGGCCTCAAACTCTTGATGCTCCTGAGTAATGGGAACTCTGGGTGTGTGCCCCCATGCCTGTTCTGGATGGGATCTTAAATGAAAAGTAATTTCCCCATTTGAGTATTTTCTGCTTTAGTCTGAGGAGGTCTGTGAAGAGGCAGGAGCGACTGTACTGCTGTGCTGTCCACACGAGCCTCTCGGCACCTTCCCCACAGGGCCCAGGTTGGCTCCCTGCCTCCTCTTCTGGAAAAGGACTTAGGGACTTCCAAGTATCTGTACCCAGTTCTAGACCCAATGTGTGACAGTGCTGCCCCTTTTGGGGTATCCAATGTTTCTGTAAGAGGGTTACTCTTCATAGCACAAGGCATGTCATCATTTCCCCTGTGGGTGACAGGACATTTTAAAACAGATTTTCTTTCTTTTAAACTTACTTATTTTTTGTTTGATTTTGGTTTGGTTTGGTTTGGTTTTTTGAGACAGGGTTTCTCTCTATTGCTTTAGAGCCTGTCATGGAACTCACTCTATAGACCAGGCTGATCTTGAACTCACAGAGATCTGCCTGCCTCTGCCTCCAGAGTGCTGGGATTAAAGGCTTGCGCCACCAATGCCTAGCCTCTTTTATTTTCAATCATGTGGGGAGCCGGTACATGTGAGTGCTAGTGCCAGCACAGGCCAGAGGCATCGATCACCCTGGAGCTGACGTTACAGGTGATTGTGAGCCACCTTATATGGATGCTAGGACCAAATTCAGAACTTTGCAAGAACAACAGTACATGCTTTTAACCACTGAGCCATCTCTCCAGGGTCCCCAAAACTCCCTTCACTCCCAAACGTAGTTTGACTTACATAGTCACCTGCATGTAACATTTCAGAAGAGTCATTCAGTATTGTTCTGATAGCTCTTTTTTCTGGGCCTTTACATTAGAAACGTGGGTCTTGCCTACAGTAGGACACCCGTGTCCATGTCCTACAATGGCTCTGTGACCAGGAATGCAGTGCAGGGCCACAGTAGACACTCGGTATCCTGAGCTGCAGGTCCAGAATCCCCGTCATGGTCAGGGTTGTGGGAAGCTTCCAAGACTTCAGGAAAAAACAAAAGCAGCATAGGCACCAGGAACAGTCCAGTGGGAGGCAGTGCAGCCCAGGAGGCAGTGCAGCCCAGGAAGTAGTGCAGCCCAGGAGGTAGTGCAGCCAGGGAGGCAGTGCAGCCCAGGATCCAGTGCAGTCCAGGATCCAGTGCAGTCCAGGATCCAGTGCAGTTCAGGATCCAGTGCAGTTCAGGATCCAGTGCAGCCAGAGAGCCAGTGCAGCCACGGAACCAGTGCAGCCACAGAGCCAGTGCAGCCACGGAACCAGTGCAGCCAGGGAGGCAGTGCAGTCCAGGAGGCAGTGCAGCCAGGGAGGCAGTGCAGCCAGGGAGGCAGTGCAGTCCAGGAGCCGGTGCAGCCAGGGAGCCAGTGCAGCCCGGGAGGCGGTGCAGCCAGGGAGGCAGTGCAGTCTCCAGGAGGCAGTGCAGTCTCCAGGAGGCAGTGCAGTCTCCAGGAGGCAGTGCAGCCAGGGTAGACGCATGCCACACCGCTGTCCTGTCCCACAGAAATACTACCATTCCAGTCCCCACAGGCCCCCCAGGCTTGCCAAGAATGCCTGGCTTGCCCAGGTGTGACTCATTTCCTCCAGTAGGCATCACAAGAACAACCCTAACAGAATCTGGGCCACCTCTGGGGATCGGGGAAATGGAGTGTTCGGTCTTTCTGGAGCCTGTGGTCTTTGCCATAGTGGTTCATTTGAAGATTCCTCTAGTGTTCACACTGAACCTGAGGAAGCCAGTGACGTCATCCAGAGAAGGAGTCCCCAAGGCAACAAGGTCCCTAAGAATTTCCATCCCCACAGGTGCGCTCCCCTTAAAGACACCTGCTGACCGGATTCCACAGTCACCCAGGGAGCTGTGCTCCCTCAGCCTGAACTCGGCAGCAGGTAGAACTAACTGTCCATCCATTTGTCCATGCACAGCCTTGGGTTTGGGGTGGTGTCTGGGAACACTGGCCTCTCATCCCAGCTCTAAGCTGTGATTTCTCTGTGTGACTGTTCTGAGAGTCCTGTGCTCTTGTCTCCTTGTCTGGAGTCAAGCACATGATAGAACCCCCAAGGACACGCCCTTCCTCAGGGACCATTCCTCCACCTAGGTCCCAACACCCAAAGTTCACAGAGCCACTCATCAGCACCCCCACAGCACATCACACGAGCCTTCGGGAGGGGGATTCGTATTTAATCAGCACATTGCTCTTTCTCACTAAACACCGGGGCCCCTGCTCACCCTCTTCTGTGGTCCCGGCTTCTACATAGACAAGGGTCCTTTCTAGCATCGTCTCTCCCATGTCATCTCAGACCCAGCAGGATGCCTGTAGACCCCTTGTCTGGCTGGCTTAGGGGGCTTTTCATCTGGAACAGTGCTCAGTCCCTTGCTGATTGCAGCCTAGTCTGAAGGAAATCAACCTTTCCAAATAGCTTCCGTAGTCCCCTTCCCCTGGCCCCAACACCTCACCAAGGCTCTGCTAAGGACCTGTGGAGGCCTGTGGGGATGCCCATACCTGTCTTTTACACTGTGGATATGGACTGTGCTCTCAAAGTTGTCTCAGTATTCCCTAACAGTGAGCACGCCGCTTTCCTGAGTAACTAGATGGATGGGTAACACGTTCTCAGGGCCATAATTTCCAGGCTGTGGGGGAGTTACTAATTTCATGGAGGAAGTATAACACTGTCCTACCAAATGCTTTTGTGAGAGCAAGTGTTCTGTGGAGACCTTGACCTGGCACTTGGTCCTTGGAGGTATCTCCAAAGAAACAGAGCTGGACAGGGCCTTGAAGGGACTAACCAGGTGATCTGGCTTGGGCCATGGGGCTCTGCTTCTCTTCCAGTGGCTCTGCCACAGCAACTGTTGTTGCTAACCTTGCTAACCCTAAAGTGAAGAGGGTCTCAAGCTACATCCATATGCTTCTGGTGAACCCCAGCTAGGCCCTCCTCGGTGCTCATGAGCCAGACAATCCGTGGTCCATGCAACCAGAGAAGACTGCATTTTGCCTCACTAGGATGGCAAGTGAACCCTGCTGTGCTCTCAGATCTGTTGCGAAGGCCGCATGGCTTCTGCTGTCTTTGCCTAGGCTTGTGTACCGTGGCTTCTGTCAGAGTGGGTCGCCTGACCATCTCTGAATCATCAAAAGGTAAACAGCAACCGCCCCTCCCACCGCAGGTCAACACACTTTCCCTTTGGTTGTACCTGCTGCCGTGCAAATAAGGGGCTTTTTGGATGGGACCCAGCATAGTTAGAAGAGGACAGTTTTCCAAGGCCAGTGCTGTGGAGAGGGGACACTTCATCTTAGAGTGAGGTGAAGTCCCTGCCCTGGTCTTCCTTCACACCCTGTAATCCTTTCTTCTCAGCCCTTTGTGGAGGCCGACACAGCCTTCTCTGTCTAAGTACATGTGTTAGAAAGGATCACTGACCTGCTTGGACTGAAGAGGGCTGTGGGTTGGGCCCTTTTTATTTTGTTTTCCTTTCAGATTACCCAGGTGTGAGGTTGATGTCCCACTGATAGTTGGGTCACACCTCACACAGGTGAGCTCAGTGCGCCTACAGGCAGAGCTTAGTGAATAGTACTTCTGAGGACGTGGAAGCCCTTCCAAACATAAAGGCACTCTTCTAGAGAGCCCCTGAGGTCTTCTGTAAAGGATGCTTGAAATGGTGCCAGGTCCAGCGGGTTCAACAAAGGAACCATCTTCAGCTCAAACGGGAGGCTTTGAGTGTGTGAAGGGCTTTAGAGAGAGACATCGCATTAGCTGTCACCTTTTCAACCCACAGCTCCTTGCTGTTCTGGCAACACAGGTTTACGGGTGCTAGCCACAAAACTGCTCTAAAGAGTACAGGGACAAGTCTGCCCCTCCCCTAGCCATCTTGGCAATCCGTGCCAAGGACCCCTGAAGCCAGCAAGGGGTGGGCCCAGGGAGTGGAGCTGGCAGGCCTGCTGACCCCAGTGGCTAGTCTTCGTAGGTAGCTGCAATTTCCACCTCAGGGAACTCAGAGTTCATGGGAGGTGGCTCAGAGTACCTGCCCGGCTGTGGTGATTCTGGAGGACATAGTGGGGGTCCATTTCTGTTCAGTCACAGATGGGAAGCAGGACCGGCTCTCGGTGAGTCAGCCAGCAGTGAGGTTCCACAGATCCTGTGGGTTCATCTTCAGATTCTCTTTTATTCCTTTATGTTTTTCCTCTCAGTACAGGCATGTTAAAGCAAGTTTAGAACATACCTAAAAATAAGGTCAAAATTAGCAAATCGGATCTCAGCAAAGCCACTGTTAACATCTTGGTCCATTTTCTTCCAGTCTTGTCTTCTCCCTCTAGTGATTCCACCCATACAGGACACAGCAGAGGTGGCTTTGGTCTTTCTTTTTGGGGGGCAGACCCCACATTTCACAACTTGCTGGTTGGTGAAGCACGATGATAGGGAAGGGGAAGAGATGTGGATCTCTCTCCTATGACTTTAAAATCAAAGCACTCTCCTCCGACGGGGCTCGTAAATTGTACCATTCTTATAAAAGAGCCCCAGCTGAGAGCAGCCCCTCAGTCCTCGTCCTTCAGCGAGTAGTTGCCGAGGCTTTACCCACATTAGTCAATGCCCTCCCCTGTCTAGCGTGGACCTGCAATTAGGCCTGGAAATGCTCCACACATAAGAAGGCCTGCATGCGGCTCCCTGGACTCTCCCTGGCCTAGTAAACAAGTGTGCCAGGGGCCTCCACCTGAGACTCATTTCTTCTCAGCCTCGAGTCCCTCCCTTGCTCTGCCCCGCTCCGCCCCTGGACCAGGAATGCAACCTCAAGCCACTGCAAAGGAACTATGGAGTTAGAAATAGAAATGGAAGAAATGGTGAAGACTAGAATGGCCTGAGAGAAAGGCTCAGTCCAGAGCAGGAGAAGGCAGATCAAGAGGAAGATAGAATAATGCAAATTTGGCCTCTTAAACCCTTGGTTAGGGATCAGTCCCAAGCAGGAAGCCAAGAGAGAAACTCGGCTTCCTCCCGTGTTTCTTCCCTTACACCCTGGCCTTTTGCTCAGACGAAGCCAGAGCTCTGCCTTGTACTTCGGGGCTGACTCGCTTACTTTAGAGCCTGAGAGGGTGTAGTGCGGCCAGTGCCCATTTGTAACACCGCATCCATTCGAAAGATGCATTCCGCTTCCTGACTGCCAGCTCAGAAAGTGTTGGAGTGCAATCCACTAGTGAGAGAGAGACTGTAGGCAGTGTGTTAAGGGTTGTTCCAGCATTGTAACAATCCACTAGTGAGGGGTTACCCCAGCATTGTAACAATCCACTAGTGAGTGAGAGACTATAGGCAGTGTGTTAAGGGTTGTCCCAGCATTGTTTCCGTGCCTAAAGGAATTGGCGTCTGTGCCCAGGGGCTTATTTCCTGAAATATGCAGACATCAGTGGGCAATTCTGCCTAGGCATCTCACCAGAAAAAAGTAAGAATAACTGCATGGTTAATTTGCTATTTGGAGGTCTTGTAAAAATTCTGGCCAAAACAGTTTCTGTGATGATATGCTATATGGACCAGAGCCATTTGTATGACAGACACTGGATTCACTCTCTATAAACACAACAGGGATTGCTCAGTAGGGTGCAAGGTGTCTTAGGGGGGTGTGTCCTAAATTGTCAACAGCTTCCACACGGTGTCTGTGTCCTTAGCTTTTGGCATGAGGCAATCAGATGAGGTCATCTGCTTGAGTCCGTTTCCTGATAACTGATCATTTTGTGACACAGAACAAATTCTATTCTGAGAGAGCTTTCAAGCCTAAAGGCTGCCTGCCTGCGCTGGGGCCCATCCCCTTCCTCCCCACCCACCCGCCCCAGAAGCATCTCTTCTCGTGGTGGAAAATTACACATTCACAAACTGTGTTTCTTTCCTCACACCAAGCATATTCCCACACAGTGACTGATTCTGGATGATCTCATGGGTAAATCACGCCATTATCCGGCTGTTTATAAGAGCTGCCTTTAGACAAAGATTTTGGTATAAGCTGCATTAAGACCCCGCTATTGTCTGCCAGCCGCCCTTCTGGGGATGACTTACCCCTGAGTGCCGAGTCTGAGGGGCCAAGATTTCTCAGCTAAAAGCTGCCTTTGATTTGGCTTTTTTTTTTCCTGTCAGCCGTGGCCTTGTTCATTGACTTTGAACTCCGTTGGTGTGACTCTGCCTCCATGCAAGCAAGAGAAACTGATCCAAGATGGCCACTGCCCTTGAAGGAGCAGTGTTAGCTCTGGGACTGTGACAGGGTTATTTTGGTTTACCATTTTAGAAGTTTCAGTCTGGGGTTGGGGGGTAGTTCGTGCAAGCATGAGACCCTGAGTTCAGTACCCGACACCCACATGAAAGCCAGGAGCAGTGATGCCCATTTGAAATCCTGTTACTGGAGACAAGTGAATCCCTTGGCGTCTGTAGCCAGGGAGCCTAGCCCATTAGACAAGCTCCAGGCCAGTGAGGCCCTGTCTCAGAAACCAAGGTGGGCCACTCCTGAGGAACAACACACACAGTTGCCCTGCGGTCTCCACATACATACACACGCACCCACACAGACGTGCTCTCCACAAGTGCTGCAGCTGAGTCACTGACTTCATGGCTGGGCTGCCAAAGTCAGGGGTGGGGGGTGTTGGTCAATGTCCCCTTCTAGGATCTGCGTCCTGACCTAAGGAACAGCACACGTGTGTCTGGAGTCCCATGGCGCGTGATCTCTTAATTAAGACTCGTTCACACGTGGTATTTCCTTTCCTAATCCGGTTTTCAGAGCTCTGCTCTCTCCCAGTCTCTGTTCCTTTTGAAGGGTCTAGAAATCCTGTTAATATTTAACTAGCTCTTGAATTATTTACTCATCCGAGTGTTTGAGCCATTGTTGGCCTTAAAAGAGAAAGTTCCCTGGTGGTGCTCCCAGCTGGTCCCATGAGATGTCACCATGGGTAGAGGTCAGAACAGCCCGATCTCAGGAGCAGAAAGCCTTGGAAAGTGCCTAATTGGATCACACATGCTTTCTCCCATCTACTTCCCAGGTGTAAGTATTCAATTGTTTATTTTTTTAAGTATTTTATGTGTGGGGTGTGCATGATGCAGGGGTGCACATATGTGGAGGTCAGAGGTCAACTTTGTGGCAGTGATCGCTCCTACCTTTCCACGAGTCCCGGGGATCACACTTAGCTCAGCTGGTTTGCACTGCAAGCACCTTTGCACACTCGCTCACAATTATAATTTTTCTAAGGTTGTTTCATTGATTTTGCCTCCAAGTTAAAGGACCCTGGACCCTCTGATTGATGGGGAATCCTGTGGTCCTACCAAAATCAATTCTGTGCAACACATTAATAATAGTCAGCCAAGTCTTTCACAAAAGATAGTCGGGAATTGGCTGGCCACGCAGTGGTTAATGGGGGCAGGGGGTGGGTAACCTTTGAGAACGAGATAATGTAGGTTGACATTGGCTTTGGTCAGATGATTCAACAGGGGTGAAATAGGATGCATTTGCTTTGTGCGGTAGCAGCTGAGGCAAAGCCTGGGTTCCAGGGGCTTTCCTGATGTGGACTCACGGGACTCGGAGGAGGATTGTGGCACGCGGCTGTGAGGGATGCCACAGCCCCCAGTGAACCAGCCTGCTCTTCTTAAGCACAGAGCTGCTGTTGACTGTCTGCTATGTAATCCCTCTCATCTTGCCTCAGCCTGCCCCTCAGCCCCTGCTAGCCCTTCCCATTCCCCCACTCACTGTTTCCATGGCTGCTCTTTGTCTCGCATTTGCAGACTGTTCACGTTTGCATAGCCCGAGAATTGAGCTGAGTGGGAAGCCTGTCTAAGCTGGAGCAACAAGGAATTAGAACATGAAGTTGCCCGTGGCTCTGACCAGTGCTTTTCGGGCCTTCTAGAAATAAGTAGGTGTCTTCCCACAGCCTCACGAACCACACTCTTGTCCCTGGCAAAAGTACCACATTTAAGACTTGACATGGGCAGATCTGAAATACTGCCCAGTGGTGCTTCAACTTGCCATGTTCCTTAAAGAAAGGACCTCCTATGCAGGCGAGGTTGACCTACGACCCAAAGAGACCAACCTACCTCTGCTTCCAAATGCTGCGATTAAAGGCATGCACCACCATACCTAGTGCCTTTTTGAATTTTAAAAATAGCTGGAGTCTCAGTAAGTTAATATTTGAACCCTACATATATCTGGGATTAAAAGAATAGCCTTCAGGCTTTTCAAAGAAAGTCCAGCTTGAATCTGCCTTTAATGGCTCCATCCAGCTGTTGCTCTGAGTTGTCATCCATACTGTGGGTTTAAGGCTGGCAGTTGAGGCCACAGATACTTTTGACAACCATTTTATAAGACTTTAGAATAATAATGTTAGAAAAACACTGAGATTTATTCTTGCCCTCTTGGGAATTTTGCTTAATTCTTTTTCATTGGCTATTCTCTCTAAAGATTCCTTTTGGGTGTGTCATCGAAGCTCATGGTCCCTTTCTATAGGCACAGCCAGGCACCGGCTTCTGGGACAGCATCGCCCATAGCTGTATTGCTTTCTTTGCACTCACACACGAGGCCAAGGCAGTTATCTGTAATACTGCGAAGGCCATTGTGAAATCGCTGTTATTATGTCAGTCGAGTATGGCTCCGAAAGGGCAATTTCCTGCAGTTCATGCTACTATCAGGTTTCAGTGACATTTATTGGAGCACTTAGCAGGGAAAACCCGGAGAAGATGGGTGGCATCTTGTGCTTTCAGATCCTGACTGGTGCTACCCATAGAGTCAGGAAAGGAAATGGACACTTGCCCGAGGATGTAGCTCAGGTGGCAGAATACTTGGCTAACATGCCCAAAGCCTCGGGTTCAATCCCCAGGGCCTCAGAAAACTGGGCATAGTGGTGCACACCTGTGACCCCAGACCTTGGAAGGCAGAGGCAGAAGGGCCCTGTTCAGGATCCCCATCTGCTACATAGAGAGTTTCAAGGCCAACCTGGGCTATAGGAGATCAGATCCTAAGAAAAAGAGAAAAAGGTCCAGTGACCATCAGAAATGAATGAGCTTTGTTTTCTGTGACTCTGGAGGCACATATGTGTATATGCATGTACTCTTAACTCACTCCCACCAAGAACCATGCTCAGTTCCAGTGACCACCTGAGAGAATGCACAGAAACATGTATCCCAAACATCACAGAGTCATGTTCTAGAGTGGCTGCTTGATGTTGGGAATTACATACATGGGGATGGTCTTGAAGAAGTACTGATTTATGCTCTTGGAGGGATGGAGGAAGATAGAGATAGATAGAGAGACAGACAGAGAGAGAGAGAGAGAGAGAGAGAGAGAGAGAGAGAGAGAGAGAGAGAGAGAGAGAGAGAGAGAGAATAGGGGGAAGGGGACCCTATACGCAGTTCTGAGCCTTGTTTGCCTTTGTCCTATGTGACTTTGATGTCATTTTGAGCATGGTGAGCCATCTCCTCTTAAGAACGTGGCTGCTAGGAGCAGGAGGTCTGCATGCTGATGTTGAAGACTGGCCCAAATAAGACTTTGCGTTGGAAGGAGCTGGGCCATCTGTTGCACACCTGTGGATCAGAGCAGGGGTTGAACTGAGCTGGAGGTGTTTGTTTTCCCTGTGTTAAAGTGGCATTCTTTCCTTTCGCCTCCCTCCTCATCACTCCCCAGCCCTTCTCTCTTTCCGGGTTACCTTCGGCCTTCCCACATTACTTTCTCTGCTGAGGCTCTCAGGCTCTGCTTATGGAACCTCCCTCCAGGTCCCATGGCGAGCATGCTGTCAGTCTAAAGTGGCCTTCACTAGCAAGCACTGTGTACGGACAGGCTGGAAGGTGGCACCCAAGCATGGCTGCAGCATAGGTCCTGGACGCCCTAGTCTGTCCTGCACTATACAGGATACTTGGACATAGGAGACAGACTGTAGTGGGTAGTCAGAATGGCCCTAGGTGACTGGAGGGACTCACCCTTTGACACACTGAGTAACTCTTCCTGGACATAGTCACAGTGGATCTGTCTTACACCTTTAGGGTGGTGCTACGTGTTAGGAAGAGCATTTAATGCAGAATCACTCCCCACAACCTTGGTGACCTTGACAAGACTCAATGTCCCCCTCTGTAAAAATGGGTTAATGGTAATACCTTAGCCAACATGTGATAGTGAGAGGCTTTAGAAATTATACCATGAGTCGGGCGTTGGTGGCACACACCTCTAATCCCAGCACTCCGGAGGCAGAGGCAAGTGGATCTCTATGATTTGGAGACCAGCCTGGTCTACAGAGTGACTTCCAGGACAGCCTCCAAAATAATATAGAAAAAACCCGTCTTGAAAACCAAAAAAACAAAACAAAACAAAACAAAAACAAAAAAGGAAGAAAGAAAGGAAGGAAGGAAGGAAGGAAGGAAGGAAGAAATTGCACCATGCTACAGGAAGGCTTGTTATTAGTATTGGGGTCATTCTTCGATGAGAGGACACACTGTCAGGGTGGTTGGCCTGACTACTGTGGCATTGATCCTTTTATTACCAGTAAGCCCTTGGTAGCTGTTGAACATATTGATTTGTCCCATCTGATAAAGAAGAGTGGTGAGGAGAGGCGATCTTAGAAACTTCAAAAAGAGGCCAGCACTAGATCCCTACGGTCCCTGGCACTCAGAAAACCCACCCTCCAACCCCCACTCCCCCCACCCCGTCTGAAAACACAGAGGCTGTGCTGAAGCTGTTGGCAAACACAGGCTTCTGAGCTTTGCTTCCTCTGCACATGTTCTGTTCCTGTGGGTCTCAGTTACATGAACGTGACAGGAGAGTGACCCCCCGGAGCACCGCTGACGTCACCGCCCAGCCGCACTGGGTCATTCCATCAGTGTGGCCGTGAAATGCCACACAGTAGTGTTCTCCTTTGGGAACCACACAAAGCATTTTCTCTTGGCTTGTCCTTCCTAGGGACCTGAAATTGGATGGAGGGAAACAGTCAGCAGGGGCCATGAGCCTGAAGGAGATCATTGGCCTTGACGGTGTGGAGCTGGGTGCTGACGGGAAGGTAAGGTTCCAGTGTCTGAGATTTTGCAGATGGCACAAGACCCAGGATGCAAGGCAGAGGGCTACAGTGTAAGACTTGCTTGCGAGGTCAGGGCGGGTTCCAGGGCAACGCACTATGTCACTCCAATTCTGCCAGTGTGCGGACAGAAACCACCAAGCCAGTAACTCAGGAGAGGCATGGCAGGAGGTCCCGAGGTATGCGCGTTTCTCTGCTAACACTGTTGACAGCTGATTGTGCAATTCTCACATATTTATGGACACATACCCGCATTCCAGGATGAAGTGATGGTTTGTGTATCTCTGAACTGAAGGTGTCAGAGCAATATTCCAGCCACCAGTAAAGTTTTGGCTTCTCAGCCCAGCACAGCGACCACTAAATTGTGGTCAGCTTAGTATCCAGTCACATTCCACAATGAGCTGTTAAGGAAGTCCAAGGAGCAAAATTTGAAATATGCTGACCTCTGTTACTGGGAATAGGTAGTCTCCATGTAACCTCCAAAAAGCCTGTGCCCCAGCAGGGAAGCTCCCAGTGTGCCTGTAGGTGAGCGGGCCTCACCCTCAAGGCATCTGTGGCCTCTGTGTCCAAGACCTAGGCATGAGGTAGTTGTGGTAGAATGCGGGTCATGGTCAGCACCTGTGGGGAAGCATGAGAGGATCCAGCAGTCTTATCAGATACTCCTGAGGCCTGGTGTGTTCCTGCATTCCTCTCCTGGATTATAAGATACAGTACAACAGGTACCTGCGCATGATGCAACATTCCAGCACATTCTGAGACAGTGCCTTGCTGTCTGACACATGGACATTTTAGCTACCTACTAGGAACAGACATACTAGATGGGATCAGTTAAAGTGTACACAGCTTGGAGTCTGTTCAGGAGGGCTGGGTATGAAAGTGACACAAGCTTGGCAAAAATGGACCATACAAGATGCATCTCTCTCTCTCTCTCTCTCTCTCTCTCTCTCTCTCTCTCTCTCTCTCTCTCTCTCTCTCTCTCTCTCTCTCTCTCTCTCTCTCTCTTCTCTCTCTCTCCTTTCTTTCCTTACTTCCTTTTTCTTTTTTGTTTTTTTTTTTTTTGAGACATGGTCTCTTTGTGTAGACCAGAAGCTGCTTCAAACTCAGAGAGTGATGGGATTAAAGACAAGTCCACCAGGCTGGGATACAAGTTGCATCTTTTCAAATCCCATTAGATTCCAGAATTGCAGTTTTTAAAAAACAAACCTGATCTTAGAGTAGCGAGCTTGGCCAGAAGACACGCCTGGCCTCCTCTGGGCTTAACCACTGCTCTATGTTTGTCCTCCCCTTTTAGACAGTGTCCTATACCCAGTTTCTATTACCCACAAATGCCTTCGGAACCCGGAGAAATACCATAGACTCCACCTCCTCCTTCTCCCAGTTCCGGAACCTGAGCCACCGCAGCCTCTCCATGGGCCGGGCCAGCAGCACCACGGGGAGCCTTGATGCAGGTAACTGTAGCTCAGAGGGGCCTGGTGGCTCCTGGTAGGATGCACCTTGGCTTACAGTGCAAATGGGATCTCTGTTTGTGTTGGTCAGAGGACAGGGTCCACCAGTGAGGTATGAGGGCAGGCATGAGCTGTGATCTCAGGTCACACAGGCTCATACACATACCACAGAAGAACTGTCTCTCAACTACCAGCTCAGTTACCAGCCCCCAGGCCTGCCTATGAGGGCAAAGCCAAAGCTGCTGCTCTCTCCCGGCTTCTCAGTCCTTATTCCCCTGTGTTCTATTGCTGCCTTCTGCACTTCCCCCATACGGCCGGGTCCTGAAGTGTAGGATTGGGTGAGCATTTCCTCTGCAGTGCTCACAGTTAGGAGTTGCGTTGACTTTTGAAGGATGAGCTGCATACTCCGTGTTTGCCCTCACATAAGTGTAAGGATAAAAACTCTTACAGAGAAATTCCAGGTGAGGGGCCTAGGAAATGACTGGCAAAGCGCTTTCCACAAAAACCATGAGGGCCTGAGTTCAGATCCCTGGCTCTCATGTAAAAGGCCAGGCATGCATGTATGTAATCCTAGCCCTAAGGAGACAAACAGACCCTTGAGTTTTGCTGGCCACTAGTCAGGCAGTCTTGGTGAACTCCAGGTTCCATAAAAAGTGATTGAGGAGCGATCTTATATGAACTTCTGGCCTAGACACATGCGAGCATGCACACACACACACACACACACACACACACACACACACACACACACACACACACACGAAATTCCAAGCACAGATGAAGTTCCCTTGGTCAGTCTACCCCTATCCTAATGCCCCTATCACCTGCAAAAATCATTTGTATCAGTGTTTGTGAGTGGCTACCACTGTTAGGACATGATTCACACACAGCAGTCTATCTGGAAGCTTTTACCCAAGGTCATGCCTTGAATGGCACAACTAAGTTTAGCAATTCTCTCTGCAAGCTTAGAGAACAGGCTGGTCTAGGGCCATATTCTGTGACCTATAAGGGTCACATTCTGTGTCAAGTTTTGTGTTCTTCTGGGTCAGGGAAATGAACGCGTAATTTACTAACATAGGAAAAAAAACAGAATGGTAAGAATTGGCCAATCTTTTTGTAGGTGTGTGTTTATACCTCATTGCCAAGCAGAGGCAATCCCTAGAAGTCAGAGCCATTGATGTGACTCTGGGGCAATGGCCCTGAAGCCACCTGGTTTTTAGTAACTGTCCTCAGCATCTTCCCAGCAACCTCAGCCTCAAGGGGTCCAGGGCCCTAATGACCGTTTTGCTTGTGCTCCTCAGGAAGTGACCTGGGAGACTTTGTGGACTACGACCCAAATCTCCTGGATGACCCCCAGTGGCCTTGTGGCAAGCACAAGCGGGTCCTGACTTTCCCTTCATACATGGTAAGTGGTACCCGATGGCTGGCTGGTGGGTTTCCTGGTGCCCACAGCATCCTGGAATGGCCTTGGGTTAGCCCGCTGGACTTTGTGTCTGTGATGTAGGATTCTGGTTAGCTGGCCTGGGAATGCCACCCACAGAGAGGTTGAGCAGGGTGGGTCCAGCTTGGAGACCTTGACTTCTGAGAAGGGCATGCCAGAGTATACACACTTCAGACTCCGCTGACCTTTCGGTGGAGCACCAAGTGCAGGCTGTGTTTGGATCTCCTTAGCAATTGTAAGTCTCCACGTGCACTCCAAGCCACTGGCAAGTAGGACATGGTGTTCAAGGGAGTACTTGCTATATTTCGAGACTTCTGGTTTCCCCCTTGTGTAACTGGATTACACTTTCTAGCTGATCACCTTCCCAACCATGGTGGGCTCCTCCTTCTGTAGACACTCCTTTTTTTAGTAGAGCTGTCCTCACTGCTGAGAAGCAGGAAAGAGCCTACTATGCAGAGAAATGGACTGACCAGACCCGTCATACACTCATCAACAGAGGAAACTCTGCCTAGGTGCCTTGCCTCTCTGCCTTCTACATCCCATGGGGCAGCAGGGCAGACAACCACAGCACTTCCTCCCCCGGGTCACTCCTGCTGCTTGTCTTAGAAGCCCTATCCTCAGCACTGAGGCCAAGGGTTCTCACTGACAACTACAGATGCCCAGGGGCAAAGCAACTCCAAGTACCTAAGGCTGCCTGTGTTTGCATTTAGAGTTTAGAACCAGCAGTCAGCACTGGGCCTTTGCCGATTGCTCTTAGCGTTTGAGTTCAGAGATCTGCTGAGCCACATTGGGTAGATTGAACTTTCAAAGTCATGCAATTTAAAATGGCCCTGTGCTCACTCTCCCATACCTATCCCTCAGCTCCTAACCTGATAACAAAATCACAGTTGTGTATGGGTAGGGAGTGTTGGGTTTACATGTTTGTGGGTTTGTTTTTGTTGTTTTCTGGGATTTTTTTTCTAATCTGTGACCTGTTCATTCAAGGAACAAAACCAAGACTCATTCATCTTCCCCAGATTCCAGTGCTTAAATATTCGGTGGCAAAAGCCTGTGCTCTTGTGTTAAAGGAGCCACTGAGAAGTTGCCATTTACATGAGAACATGTATTTTCAGTGTGGACCCCACTTTCTCTATGAAGGTTCACTTTATTAACTACCTTGGGCAGGAAGCTGTGGCTGAGAATCCCAGTGAGACCTTTTGCTAGTGACAGGAAGTGGGGTCCTGAGCCTCCAGCCTCTGAGTCGGGCTCTGCTCACTGATTTTGCCGGGCTGTTTCTGAACACCTGTCAGCAGTGGGACCTCAGGGCAGGGTGTGAGGACCATTCTCCGGCCAGCTTAACAGATGTCTAGAGGTTTGAGACAGCATGAGGGTGTACTGCTTGTGGCTGATGATGGGGTCCTGCAGGGGACTCCCCTACGGACACGCTGTCTTATGGCAACACTGACCTCCCTTTGACAAGCTTGGTGGGTGTCTGGCCCTGTTTGTCCTCTTACTTCATTATGGGCCTTGATGTTCTGGGCCAGTCTGTGCAGACTCACACGCACAGAGCTACTTGTCCTCCTTGGACACTTGGATGACTTTCCACGTGAGCGTGTATGTCCGGCCCTCCTCATCCTGTGTTCCCAAGTAGGTCGTTTTGCATGTGCCAACACTGGGCTTCCGGTAAGAGTCCATGTTTTCACAGAATGCCATTACTCTTTGACTGCATTTCCTAGCCCAGGCCATGAGGCTTCTCTCCTGTTCTGGCCTGACATTGGTATTTTCAGTAAAGGACAGGACATGCATTCTCTTGTGCTCACACTTAAATTGTTGACAATGTGTGACAAACAGCTTCGGGCCAGTTCCTGCAATGCATAGAGGGAATTTACAGGCTATAGGGATTTGCACTGACCTTGCAGGATTCTTCATTTTCATGGGTTTGCTTGACTGTTGTATGCTGTGGAGCAAATCTAGAATTTGCTCATTCACCAAATTTAGTTGTCGTCCTACCATGTGCTTTGTCGTTTACCGGAGAACTAACTGGCCATAGTCCCCTCTAGTTGGCCTTAGAATGAGTGGGGAAGTCCAACAGCAAGCAAGCAGACAGAGGACCTCGGTGGAGAGGAGGGTATGGAAGATGCCATCCTGGAAAAGTGATAGGCATAGATAAGGAGGGTCGGAGATGGGTTCCTGGGAGGGCGAGGGTGTGCGCAGAGTGGGGTTGACACTATAGAGTGGCGAGCCTGCATCTGTAATAGGCTGGTGACTCCCGAGGGACAGTAGGAGTTGGGGTTGTTTGAACAGGCTGCTGAAGGGCCCTCGGTAGAAGCCTGAGGCACATGAGGAGGGGGAAGCTCTCACCCGACAGCCATCCCATCCGGTAGATGCCAGGTCTCTGAGGCTGGGCATTGCTGGCCCCGGAACTACTGCTGCCATGTCTGCCGGCTTGCAGGAACAGGCCCTAGGGACCACTCAGCCTCTGGATCCTGCTGCCTCAGGTTCATCTTCACAGGCCACAGTCCCGGTTAACCCATCTCAGTGGAGAACCCAAGACCGAGACCTTGCTGTCTGGGGATGTGCCATGGAATTTCAGGCTCCGTTGCAGCCATCTTAAGTGTGTAGTCTCACAAATTCTGTCACCGCCGTTTGATCTCAATATAGATCTTCTCTGTTTTTCTAGTTCTCCATCTTCACTAAGGCCACCCACCGCTGTTGTGACTTCTGCAACTGTATTAAGTTTTTCACCTGTCCTGGAAGTTTGTGTAAATGGAATTATAGGCAGTATACTTTCTTTGGTCCATCTTTCACACGACTTGGTGTTGATGCAATTCACACACAGAGTTGTATTTAATTGCTGAGCAGTGTTGGATGAACACAGCTTATCTATTCATCCTGAAAACGACTGCCATCAGTATTCCTGTGCATGGCTTTTTGTGGACATCCGTTTCCTTTTTTTCTTCTTGGATAAGTACCTCCGGGCGGTCATTCAGCATTACCCATCCAGGCCGTACTTGGATATGTGCTTTCTCCAGTGTTGTTCTAATGATAGCTCAAAGAAGCATGTGCCACAGCCTGTTGGAGGGTTCTACAGGTGAAGTCCCTCGCTTCCAGCATGGCAGTGACACTGAGGTAGCCTTGCACTCATTAGATTTGTATTTTTAATGGGCGACCCATCAGGTCACTCTCACACTTAGCCATCATGAAGAGGCAAAAGCTAGATGTTGAACTTGAAACCTCCAGGGGCAGGTATGAAGACCACAGCATAGCTGCACCTGCGGTTCAGCCTGCAAACTTCTAGAAGGTGACCACAGAACATGAAACGCGTCATAGGCGGCAACCACAAGCCTTGAGCGCACGTCAAGCTGCCTGGCTGCATGCAGGTTCTTGTAGGGCATTAGCTAATGTTCAGCCAGAGGGCAGGAGGCTCCTGTCAGACCATGTCTCTTGTGCCTGCCCTGCCTGGTGTGTAATTAAGTTTCACTAGAGAGTGGTTCTTCCTCATTAGAACCTGGCAGCTTCTGTGGGTAGTGGTTTTTATTGTTACCTGTTTTCCCCTCCTTTTATGGGTGTGGAAAACGATTAAGAGAATATGAGAAAGAACTGTAGTAAGGCCAACAAAATTAACCCCCAATGGACCCGTGAATCCTTTTCCTTTTTTCTCACACTGCTTTGACATAAGAAAACCGAGACATTTTTGATGAAGTCTATAGATACCACATCTCTATAGACACCCATTGGATTGGTCCCTGATAATATTTCTCTTATTCCATTTGCCTAACAGCAGAATTTGAGTCCTTCGGCACACCCTCATAGCATGCCTGCATCACCCGCAAGCTGTAGAAATATACCTTAGGATTCAGTTTTCCAGGACACCAGGACATGCTAAGCAGGGAGGAAGAGAGGGCTCAGTAAAAAGATGCGTTCAGCCCGCCCTACTTTGAGGCTGGGCTCTGCCCTCTGTCTCCACAGACAGAATTTTTATTGTTGTTGCTTGTTTTCATTAAGAATTATAATTACTGGTAGCTTAGGTGCTCACCTGCTGCAGAATATTCAAGATGTGAAGCGTCTGCTGCCACCAAATGTCTGACGTAAGTGTACCTCACACGGCATGGTGACCCCTCGGTGTGACCCACCCGCTGTGTCAGCGAGAGCTGCACACGGCTTCCTTCAAGGCTCTGGTGGTTGGAATCCAAGGGATAGAAACAGCACCGTAGGCAGCCCAGGCTGCTTAGCCACCATCCCCATAGTTTCCTTATCATTCACTGTTGTCCTGAGAAAGCGGATTAAATGCCTGGGACAGCTAAAATGCCCATCTGCTGTTGGTTAGCTGGATGCAGCCCCAGCGCCCCTGCCTAATTACTTGAACAAGTAGAACATCTGCTTTCCGCCGCCGCTGAACTGGAAGGCTGATGGCTCTCGGACAAGTGCTGTCGAAGCAGAACTGGGCACTGATGTTCGCAGGGCTGGAAGGAGCTGCCCAGGTCACTGCCCGGAACTACTCCTTCCTTTTAAGGTATGGTGGGGAAACTGAGGCAGCCTCACTTCCTTGGACTGTTCCCACCAGGTGAATTCTGGCCCCATGAGACAGGAGCAGAGAGGGCGGCATGTGTGCCCTGTTCAGAGCTGCTTGTATAGATTAGACTCTGAGTCCTAGAGGAAGGAGGCCAGAGCTCCACCAGACCCTCAAGTGGGACCAGACCAGCCGCCTGTCCATTCTCCACCATCATTATTGAGGCTCCCTTCTGTCGGCCATGCACTCCAAGGGGGTCGTCTCTTCGCAGCATCACAGCTGGTGCTGTGAGCAGGGGTGGAGTCCAAGTTCACCAAATTAGACTTCCCTCTTTCATGAGTTAAGGTGGAATAATTATAAAAAGCAGTGTATCCCAGAGTCGGTGTACACCAATGTCAGCGTATGCCCATGTGAGAGTATCCTAAACCCATGTCGGTGTACCCCAGGGTCAGTGTATCCCTTGTGTCGGTGTACC